CACAACTTTGAAGTTCCATGTAAATGTATTTAAACTGGTCAACTGTGGTAAAATGCGATTAACTAATGACTTTCATGGTCAATCACAGTCATATCTGTTAAGCACGTGAACACAATGCTTAAATAGCAGTTTAAGAATGCGCTCCTTTGTTAGTGAAAAATTTGTTTAAAGTCCAGTGCCAATTGGTACGCAAGTTACTTAAGATACTTTTGACAACTTTGACATACTTTTGTTTTATGATAGTGTTTGTTGTCTTAATTTATTCCGGTCTTAATTTGTTGTCTTTGCTAAAGTTAAAAAACATTTTGAAAATCCAAAAACAATCACTGCATGTTGAAGACTACTAGAATCGTAGCATAGTGGAATGACTATATTACACTTGATTATGAAAGTAAAGGAGAAAAAAAGTTATTTTTTTTATAATACATCAATATATTGAAAATATGCAAATACAAAATATTGTAAATATATAAATTTAACTCAATATTAATTTCCAGTTAAGTTCAGCTGTTAAATTTAATTTTACATGTTTAACACTATTTTGTCCACATATTTTAATCAGACATTTTGAACAGTTTGAATGATTGAATTCATTAATTTATGAGCGGCCCACACATTTTAAGATACCAGCACAAAAACACACTCAGCAAAATATAAATTAAAATATTTTGAAAATATTGAGATGCAAGATTGTATTGCACACTCCCTAATTCACAAAAAAATATATTCATGACTGCTATTTATTAAATTCTGTGAGTGCTGTGTGCTGGGATATCAGTCTTTTAATTCCCTATTTTATTTACAAGGCTACTGTTGGGGCTCATAAGGTCTCATCCATGTGAACTCCGGTCTATTACATAACAGGAAACCAAATGGACATGACAATCTCTGAATATTTCTCACCTTCAGTGTGGTCAAAGGTACCCAGTCCCATGTCCCCACTGTCCACTTTGCTGGGCCGCCATCCAAAGCGGCTCTGGAACTTCTCAGAAACAGCTGGGGTCGCCCATTCCATGTCAGAGAGTCCTAATAGAGCAGACAACACGCGTGCCATGTGACTATCTATTATGGTTTTGAAGTACCAAAAATAATAATGTCCTGGATTGAACTGGAGCTGTACCTGTGAGTTCGGAGCTCTGGTATTTCTGTGAAGTAGTCATTCCTATGACGGAGACCTGAATTTAAAGATCAAGACAAACAAACAAACAAATAAATAGAATAATGTTAAAACTATAAAACATAAAAATATATCTATAGGCAGAAAATAGGATACACTGTGTAAAAAATTTCCTTAAAACAAAGTGTATTGAACATTGTTATTTATTTATTTTTTTAATTATGTATTGTTATTATTTGAATTTACGTAATGTATACATTTGAGCAATCTCATGCAAATGTCAACCTTGCCATGAAAAAAAGTTTTCACCAAAATAGAGAAACAGTTTCTACATTTTTTGTCTAAGCAAGTATTTTACAGTGTTTTAAGAATACTCATAAACATATTTGTCATTGTTTTAAACTATTATATTTAATTTACCAAAATCACACAAGTGGCAATTTCACCGGTGTCACATCCACAACGAAGCTTTAGGATAGATGCAAAAATGTCAAATAAAATTAATAATTTTTGTTCTATAGAGAGCAGACTCTTATCTGTTTGATTGGCATTATTTATTTTGTGTTGTGCAGTTTAATTCACAGAATTTCTACAACGTATGCTGTGTATACTATAAACTCGCAAACATTTATGTCACATCCATAATGCATGTTTATTTTCCTCATTTAAAGAATAAAACATGTTTACAGATTGATATTTTCTGATCCCATAACTCTGTGGTTAGTTCTTTTGGATAATACAAACAGATATGTCAATATAATATTAATGTATACTTTCTATGTGAATTTATGTTTTGAGTTTTTACTGCAAATGTCACATCCGTAACGCCGGAATTGCTCATTTTTTTTCACCTTTTTACACATTTGTTTGATTTCTGGGGTTTTAATATTTCAGAACAGGTTTGTTTTTTTATTTATAACAATACATTTTTTTCTTTATTTTCTTCTGAAGTTCAAGCAAATCCCAATAAATATATTTTAGAAAACAGTAAATCGTTTCGCTTAGTTTGACTTTAAGCTTAATTATATTTTTAAAGACAACTATATTTCAGTGATGAATTGTTGAAAAATATATTTTTTAAATTTAAAAAATAAAACATTTATTTTTTTAAATAACATAAAATTGTAAAAAATATTTAAAATAGAGGAACTAAAACATTTACAGTAACAGTTTAGAATAATATGCAAACTTAAGAACCAACTTAAGCTCGATTATATTTTCAAAAATAACTAACTCAGTGATGAATGATGAATTGTTGAGAAATATATTATAAAAACTAGCTGAGTAAAAACTGTTTAGAGTAATAAAAACTAAAATCCAACTTAAGCTTGATTATATTTAAAAAAAAACTATTTAAGAGATGAGTTGAGAAATATATTATTCTTAATTTTTAAAATCATTATTACTTACATAAAAATATAAGAAACAATAAAAAAAACATAACAAAAAAATCATATATACATATGTGTATATATGTATATATGTATATATATATATATATATATATATATATATATATATATATATATATCACAGTAACAGCTTACAGTAATCTGCAAAACCAAGATCAAGATCAAGGCAAGATCCAACTTTAACTTAATTATATTTTAAAAAACAACTATATTCCAGTGATGAATAATTGAAAAATATGTTATTCTTAATTTAAAAAAAACATTTAAATATCAAAATATATAAACAATAAAAATATATTTAGGAACAAAGAAAAAGATTCACAGTAACAGTTTAGAATCTGCAAAAGTTAAGATTCAACTTAAGCTTGATTATAGTTTAAAGCACAATTATATTTGGCTATGATCACGATTTTACTTTAATCTGCACATTTAACGCTAAAAATGTCAAGTAAACTTCACAACATCAGAACCAACGTTAATTTTGAACAACCTAAGCTAAGTTTAGAATAACACTAGCATAAAAGCAAACGAGTTAAGTTATATAAAACTAAATAAATTGTGTTCTCATAACACCAGGTATAAAACAATGTAAAAAGTTTGTATCAAGTCTGAAAACAAGCTCGCAACATGTTGTTTCTTCAGTCAAACACACTAACTAGACGCAGACATAGCCAGGCTAGCTAACTATAAGAGTTTCAAACACAATAAAAAGTAAACAACTCCACGTACCTTCACTCACGGGATGAAAAAGTCTTTACTAACGACAATAATGATGCGAACACAGTCCAGAGGGACAATAATGCGCTTCATCACACGACAGACGCTGATTGGGTGGTAATATCAACAAAGACCCACAACAGACGAACTAAAAGCGGCCTGGAGCTTCAAATACCCGCCGCGGACTCACAGAAACTCGCGTCTCTTTTTTTCAACCGTTATTTTAGTTCTTCTTCTGCGTTTGGAGCTCGTTGCGGGGTTGAGTGGGCGAGCGCCACCTGCCGTTTGCTTCATAAGTTGCAGGCGCCACTTCAAATGCTGCCATAGCCCAGCACATAGGACTGTATTTAGCTGCCCAACTTCAGGATGTCCTGTTCCTGTATCACTGACAAAAGATTTTATAAGAATCTTAAATGTACAACAAAAACATAGATTTAATGCCACGAACACTGGATAAGAACAGTTCTTGGAGAGTAGGGAGGGTTGTACCAGTGATTCACTTCGCAGTCCGAACTATTCAACGTAATTTTCGAAGGTCAGATTTGGTAGCTGAGCTAAACCGGACCGTTATTGAAGTGCAGAGGACTGATTCAATGATGGAAGTGTGTTTTATATTCTGTTTTCTTTCAGTCAATCTGTCTTTAATTATTTGTTTCATTGGCAAAGGAGGGCTAATTAGTCTGGAAAAGCTCAGAGAAAAAAATAATGCTAAAAAATGCAATAAAAGTAAATATTTTATTATATTCATAATTTTTTTGGATGGTTTAGCTCCTTATTTATCAGGGGTCACCACAGCAGAATGAACCACCAACTACTCTGGCATATGTTTTACACCATGTTTTACCCACTTTGAAGTGGGAAACTGAACATATACCGTGGGTATGGAAACGATTCAGACCCCCTTGAATGTTTCACTCTTTGAGCTGCCATTTAAATAGTGTTGTGTATGAACTTTGGTCAGTTATTATTAAACTGAATCAGCCTTAAACGGAATTATGCTAATAAATGACTATTTGTATTTGCCTCACTGATTAAGTTTGCATTATTATATATCCTGTTTATTGTTGTAATCATGTGAAGCTTCTTTAAACTAACACTTAAGTGCAATCAAATAATATTATCTTACTTTAACTCGTCTTTTTTATTGATCGATATTAGCCAGAGAGCCACAGCACCAAAAACATAGAATCATTAGACATCAACTGCTCCAAATCTAGCAGCAGAACACAATCTGCTCACCTTTTCTTTCTCTCTGAATTAATCAATATAATAATATTCAAAGTAAAAACACAAAACAAAATCAATTTATAATAATAATAATAATAATAATAAGATAAAAAAACATGATAGAACAAACACATATTATGCCTTACAACAATACAGGAAAATATATAAATACAAATATGCAAAGGGGACAAGGGTGTGTGTGTATGTATATATATATATATATATATATATATATATATATATATATATATGTTTGTGTGTGTAACGTGGACAATCACGCTACTAATGAATTAATTGTGAAGATTATTGCACTTATATTATAACACTTTCCCATCTATTTTATCTGTTTATTTTATCAAGCTTTTTTAACCTTCATCTATGACGTATTGCTTTCATTTAGGATTTTTCTTTAATTGTTTCATTCATTTATTTTCATCTCAGCTTAGTCCCTTTATTAATCTGGGGTCGCCACAGCAGAAGGAACCGCCAACTTATCCAGCATATGTTTTATACAGCAGAGGCCCTTCCAGTTGCAACCCAGCACTGGGAGACATCCACACTCATACACGGACAATTTAGCTTACCCAGTTCACCAATACCACGTCTTTAGACTTGTGGAAGAAACCCGAGCACTAGGAGGAAACCCATGAGAACACCAGCATCCTTCTGTGAGGCTATACTGCACCACCATGACAACTCTAGTTAAGTCTATTTAATATATTTTCATTATCCCAATAAAAATAAACTATAAACTAAAAAATTAAAATGGTTGCTAATAAAATTTGTTGGAAACTATATGAAGAGTTTAGATGCAAAGACAATGTGAAATTTTCCACTAACAGTTGTTTTTCTCAGCCTCCTATATGTTTATGTTGTTATTTTACTTTAAATGCGATTTATGAAATGCAACTTATTCTTTGCACTACAAGTAAAATTACTGAAACAACACACAACAGTTTAAGAAAAAAAAATGCTAATTTTAGATGAAAATTTCGGTCTGCACTGAGGTTTTTGCATCTTAACTCTTCATATGGGAATAGCCAAGAGCATGGAGTATAGTTGTAAAACACATTCATTTCTTGTAGCATTGACCAAGAAACTAACATATAAATCACTAGGAATAATCTTAGCCTGGTTCTTGCGAAAATAAATCCCCATAGTAACTTAATTTAGCCTGCTTTCATGCAACTGAGTAAAGGCTAAATTCAGCCAGGATAGCCTCAAAATCCCAGCTTTTTCCCCTCAAATGCACTCCAGGCCAATAAGGGGAGCTTGTCTGCGAATCGGTTCACTTAGCCTCGGCCAATGACCGAACAGAAGCAGCCGTAATCGGCGGTGGCACGCTGGGGGCAGGCGACTGGCACAGAGATGCATTTTCCTGTATGATTAATCTTAAAGAGTTGATTTTGTGAATGATTGCACGCCGGTGCCAGCACAATAGATTGCAATGGCACCGGGTTGGCAAGAGATCGCGTCGCAGCATGTGGAGCAGATAACGGGATATGTCAGAGAAAGCCTGTCCACCGGCCTCGTCTATCTGAAGTCTGAGCTGGGAATAGACTTGGGCTTGAATCCTGATCTCTGCGCTCCATGGCTGCTGCTTTTAACGGCCTGGGCCGGTCTGGTTCTCCTGCTGGTCTTATGGGTGTCCGTTTGTCGCGGTTTCTCCAAAAGACTCGCAGGGACAGAGACCGGAGACTCCGCCGAAAATACGGGTCCAGCGCAACCGGTGAAAAAGGCAGATGAGCCCAAGAGGAGGAACAGAAAGAAGAATGCAGAGAAGGTTTGACTTGCGCCTATATTTACCGCTTGTCTGGGATGGATTTCGAATCATTTCTGGTGACTCGGTTCTTTTGAATTCGTTGACGTAAACGATTCATTTGCTGCAGGTGTCGTCGTTACGTGCCTGTAGGTGGAGACGAGTGAGTCATTGAATCGTTTTCATATATATAAAAAAATAATAATCATTGAGTCGTTCACGGCCGCATCAGGATAAATGTATAGTTAACCCAAAATGGTAACTAACGTTAACTCACCATTTTATTGCTTCCAAACCGTAATGCTTTTCTTTATTTCTTGTCTAACACAAAATATATTTTAAAGAATGCTGGTTACTGTTAAGCATTAATGTGTATACTGAGTAAAAAAATACAACGGAAGTGGTTTACTACTAGTTTCCAACATTCTTCAGATGTTCTTCTTTTGTGTTTAACAAGACAGACACTGGTGACTTGAATTGTTTTCATTCATTTATATAAAACAGGGGTGTCCAAACGCCCTAAATTTTAAGTAGGGGAGCGCGGGTCACAAAGTAATGTGGGGTAAAATGTAATAAGTTTTAAGGTATTTGCTCAGGGTTAACCATGGCATGCTTCCGAGGTTTTCACCATAGTGTCGGCAGATGTCTTCCTGCCAATTACTGAAAAAGTTCGGCGAAATTTGGATGAGAAACTCAGGTGAAACCATTTTTGGAGCATAAACCGTTTTTATTAGTCAATTTTTTTTATTTAAAAAAAATCTGTGAAATATGAACGTGAAATCTTATATTGTTGTGATCACCGTCTTCTAGGCTAAAAGATGAAACCATTTTGAAAGATGTAAGAAACACACAGTGACTATTTGCCAGTTTTGAAGAAAACACGACACAGCGGGGTTAGTTGTAACAGGGTGTTACAATTAAGCCACACACTGTTGGACACCAATTAAACTAACACAATATTTTTTTAATTTCGAGTGTAATGTTGCAAACTTTAAATAAAATGATTTTAAAAATATTTTTATTGCTGATACGACAAATAAAAGCATTTATATAATAATGGATAATAATCCAAATGTGTTTATCCAATAAATAAATAAACATACTGTACTATGTACAATAAAAAAAATAATTGAGCTAGGCACAGAGCAAATATAGCTACTATTTAAAGTAAACTGGATTTAAATTAATTATGTGTAATCTGCCTTTATAATCATGTGTTACAACTAACCTCATCTGTCACAACTTGCTCTCCAGGTGGGGTAAATAGTAACATTTTTACTCCTGGCACTTTTGGCAACACTGAACAGAAACAATAGGTCCGGCGATCATACTTTCAGTGCTCATTTGAAGGAGAGGCTTGTGAGTTGTTGGTAAAAAAACAAAACAAATGGTTTGTCTAACCCCATTACTTTATTATTTGACCAAAACCAAAAAGTGTTACTTTGTCTCCCACTCTCCCCTATACCTTGAAAAAGCTTAAGTAACTGGTTCAGGTGTGTCTAATTGGGGTTGTAGCTAAACTTTGTGGGACACCCCTGACATAAAAGATTGACTTCCTGCAAGTGTCATCGTTTTGCTTGTATATAGAAGCCCGTTCCATAAATAAAAAAACAAATAAATACAATGTTTAAAAAAATGATGAAGTCAGAATTCTGAGTTATAAAGTCGCAATTCTGAGTTATAAAGTCACTTTTTGTCAAGTGTGATTAGATTCTATTAAAATAGAAAACATTTTTACTACTAGAAACTTGTTATATTTACAGACTGTTGTCACACAACTGTTTAAACCCCTTATAAAAAGTCTTTTTTTTTCATAATAGGTCCCCTTTAAAAGAGTTTGTTAAAAACAATGATTCATTCACATTTGAAACAGCATTTTCTATTCTCAGATGATCTATTTAACACCTGTCAAAACGAATTAAAATATATCAATCAATGGATATGGGTAACATTTATTACATGCATTAATAGCCATATCACCTGCAGGCCAAGAACGGTTACTCACTGAAGCTAAGCAGGGATAAGCCTGTTCAGTATCTGGATGGTAGACCACATGGGAAAACTAGGTTTGTTAGGGCTGTTGGAAGTGGTGTTAGTGAGGCCAGCAGGGGGCGCTCAACGTGTGGTCTGTGTGAGTCCTAATGTCCCAGTATAGTGAAGGGGACACTATACTGTCAGTGAGCGCAGTCTTTCAGATGGGATGTTAAACCGAGGTCATGACACTCTGTGGTCATTAAAAATCCCTATGGCACTTCTCGTAAAGTGTAACCCTGTTGTCCTGGGCAAACTCCCTCCATGTGCCCTTACCCATCATGCCCTCCCAATCATCCCCATCCACAAAATTGGCTGAATCACTGTCTCTCCACTCCACCAATAGCTAGTGTGTAGGGAGCGCACTTGTCCTGTGGCTGCCGTCGCATCATCCAAGTAGATGCTGCACACTGCACCCCCCATAATTGTGAAGTGCTCTGGATGCATGGCCATACATGATAAATGCGCTGTATAAATAAAAATACATACATTGCATTACATTGATACCCGTCCTATTGCCTTTCCTTTAAAAAGTTTGTTTTTGAAATGTCTCACAGAAAGCACAGAGGAATGGACTTGCTGTTGAACCACAGGAGGAGGTTAAAACGGCAGACGATCAAGAACTAGCAGAAGTGAGGGCTGACAAGGTAATAAAATGCCCTGCTTCATTTTCTTTGACATTTAAAAGGATAATTCACGCAAAAATGTAAATGGTTATTCATTCATACTGATTCCTTTTGACTGTAGGGAAAGAAGAATAAGAAAAAGACAAAAGCTTCTGCAAAAGAGAAAAAATCCTCCACATCTGTTGACGGCAAAGAGCCTGATGAAGGTACGTTATGAAATTTGATTAATACGATTCCTACACTTCATAAATAGTTAACAGAATTAATAGAGATCAAATACCTATTATTAGATAAGTAACTGATTGTGTATTTGTTTTTTTTTTTACATACTCGTTGAATATACTGTACTTTATTTACTTTGCAAAAAATGTGTGTAATTTAGCTAATTAAAATGTTTCTCATTGTAACAGTAATGTTTTTTGTTACCCAAAAAAAAGCACAAATTGTCAGCATATTAGAGCATAATTATTTGATGATATGCAATTTTAACTATAGGATTTAGTGTGCTCACTTTTTATTTAATATATTTCATGATCAGGATATGCAGGTTTCATTTTGTCATAATTTGACTTTGTTAGTTACTTTAAACTTTAGACACCTTCCTTTTAATATCCTCTTTCCTCTTAATATCCTTTTTCAAAAACAAAATCTTAAGAGGGCTAATAATATTAATTGAATCATTTGAAAGAAAACTTCTATTCCAGCCAAACTAAAAGAAACAACACTTTCTCCAGAAGAAAAAAATAAAGGGGGGGAAACTTTCTCTTTTAAAGAGCCCCGTTTATGGGTTTTTGAAAATGACCTTCCATGCAGTGTGTAACACAGCTCTAAGTGAAGTGGAATATCCAGCTAAGGCTTAAATATAAAAGTGCACCGTGTTTAAAACTATTGATTAATTTATAAAAGAGTCGACTCAGAGTGGATCAAACGGTTGAATCATGCCGCAAAGACGCTATGCTCTAAAGTGTTAGGGTAAAGTTAGGGTTATTTTTCTACCCAAGGATGATGCTGTGAAGAGTCAGTCGTTGAAGTTTATTTCTGCAAAAATACATCAGCATTATATCCCCAGCCTTGTGCTGTGTTCCCGTCATTTTTCTGACGAGTGCTTCAGGAATCTACACGCTTACAACGGGGCATTCGTCAGCCGTTTGTTAAAAGAGGGATCAGAAAAGACTATTGATGTATGGGACTTTTTCAGAGCTTGACAGAAACTTTATCAGTACACAGTTCATGGATCAGTTTCCTCCTCAATTTCAAAAGTGCAAGTAACTTAAATATAATTAAAATGGCTGCCGCCTCGTTTTCTCTAGCTTGCCAAATATGTATTCAATTGTGTTTTTTACACTTGTAACCGCTCCACGCGGCTTGTACTATATCTGGTTAACTCTTTATATTCTCATATTGCATCTAAAACCATGTTAAAAACGTGACGTGTGCCGATTTGTTTACTGATTTAAATGAGTTTGTGAGCTCGCGATCCACTGCTGTTAATCATTGCTATGGCCACCATTAGCAAGTTTCAGAAAAATTTAGCTTTTGCCACTGTGTGGATTAATACTGAACGCGTGTCGTTGTTTTTACTTATAATAATATGCTAGTGTTTAACTGCATTGCTTTAATGCACTTCTGCACTCCGACTACTACAAAGTTGTTGATAATCCGTGGTGGGCATTTCTCTGTCTCACGCTGAACACAGTCGACTAATTACAACATACTGGGTCATCGGACCAATCAGCGCAGATTAGCATTGTGCTAAGGAGGGGTTTGGGAACAAATGAATCGCTGAATTAAATGGGAATTAGGTAAAAATAAATGTATATTATAAGACAATGAAAGTGTTTTTTGACTGTGCATGCAGATCAACTTGTTGTTGCAGTCCCCCAAATCCTAAATATGACATTTTTAATGCAAATTAGGGGCTCTTTAAACATCAATTGGGGAAATATACAAAAAAAAATTTTTTTGAATAATTGAAATTGAACAGGAGGCTTAATATGATCAAACTGTCTATACTAGATGTCGAATTTTACATTTTAGGTTGATTCATTTGTATTTACTCAATAACAAAGACTCATCTAAATGTAATTACCGCCAGGCTGCTCTTACAATAAAACATAATTTGTTGGAATGTGGAAGTTTAAATACAATAAGACAATTTTTTATAAGGAGAGTACTTGGACATTTTAAAAAGGTACCACCAGGAAGAATCTTAAATTATTTATCAAAAACTTCACTGAAAAATCATATTTAGCTTTGAATACATTTTTGTGTGAATTTTTTTTACTTATAATTTATATATTTATATAAGTAACTGTGTATTTTAATACGAATTCTTTTTATCATGTAATATTTTCATGTATAATCCATTTTGCCATGAAATAGCCATAAGTTGCAGATGTGGCAATAAATAAATAAATAAACAGGAGGCCTAATAAAATCCTTCAGCTCCATTTGAATAAAAAGGCAATCATTCATAATTAATAATTTTCATTTTAAAAATAAAGATGTGTATGTGCATAAACTAAATACAAATGCACATAAAACTACTGAATGACCTGAATTTATTTAGCTTTTTTTAGTGCATTTATTTGTTGCTAATGTTTTTGTTCTGTTGTTCACAAATGAGTAAAATAGTACACAAGAGGTGTGTGCTAAATAAATTGTGACTCAGCATTTATTATTTTACAGCGGTCGGGAACATGAGTGTGATGGTAAATCTGGCAGGTACCTGGGAGACCAAGGTCAGTAACCGAGAGAAGCGTCAACAGCGGCGGAAGGACAAGGCTCCAGATGACGAGTCCGGCAGCCCGGTACCATCAGCAGCTTCCGGTGCCACGGAGCAGCTCCAAACCACCCTAGAAGAAGCAGAAACTACCATCACCTCTGCTGTTTCTACACCTCCGGTCCAAAGAGTAGTGGAGGGTATGTTTACTGCTGGATTAAAAGGATATTTCACCCAAAAACAACAAAAAATGTGCTGGTAATATAATCATCCTCAGGCCATCCGAGATGTAGCTATGCTTCCATTCATAATTTTTAAAGTGCATTTTGAAATGAGTTTTTTTTTTGGCTCACTGGAAGGAAACCGTGCTTTATTCACAAATGTTTTATGCAATATTAGAGTTTTGTGCAAAAATCTAGATCACATCTTTGGATGGAAACATTAGCAAGTCATTAGCAAAATAAACATCTTACCTAATTAGCAAATGTCTTTAATCCACAGCAAATGACAAACACAAGTGCCATGTCACATCATGTAATATTTTAATTTAGCTTAACTATTTCTTCAAGTGACTACTTTTTAACCAGCAGAATTTTATCAAATTTATTCTCTTTCCCTACGTTTTAGTTGACCCACCTGAAATTGAAGCAACCTTTGTACAAGACCCTGTTATTCCTCAAGGTAACCAATCCATTTTTTTCAATGCTTTTAGCATGAACAAAACAGCATATTTTTGCATTGATATCAATTAAACCTACTTGGAAATTTTTGAAAAGGTTTCTTCCTAAATAATAATAAAAACAATGATCACATAGTAAGTTGAAAGATTCTATAGATTATATATAACTGTTGCTACTATTGTTATTTTATGTATATACAGTTGAAGGCAAAATTATTCGCCCTCCTATGAATTTTTTTATTTTTCAAATAATTCCCAAATGATGTTTAACAAAGGAAGGAAAAGTTTCACAGTATTCCCTATAGTATTTTTTCTTCAGGAGAAAGTCGTCTTTGTTTTATTTTAGCTTGAATATCAAGAGTTTAAGGTTTATTTTAAGGTCAAGATTATTAGACCCTGTGAGGTTGATGAACCAGGAAGGCTCGTAGTGGGGTCTTGATGGATGGTAATGCAAGAAAATTTCAGAAAAAAAAATTATGGCACTACTTGCTGATGTAAAGTAAAAACCAAAATAACCCAAAACACATGCAAAGTAACACAATAACCAAAAATAAAAGTAACAAATAAATAGTAAACGACATCTGTACAACCACACTATTGTACACAGACAAGTCACAAATTGCTCACGGCACCACAGTAGCTCGCCAGGCACCAGCCACAATCCAACGGCTGATGGATCAAGTGCTAAGGGGATGTAAAGAGTGGTCTGCAGCTTACTTTAATGATGAAGTCATCTACAGCTCAGCCTGGGTAGACCATCTGCAATAACTAAAAGAGACCCAAGCCAAGAGCGGCAGGCTTGACCCTCAATGTCAGTTAACCAAGGAAGTGAGCGGTTGTCTACAGAACAAACCATCGTGATACAATGATTTGCCTAATTACCCTAACTTACCTAATTAGTTAAGCCTTTAAAAAAACTTTTTGCTGAATACTAGTATCTTGAAAAATATCTAGTAAAATATTATGTACTGTCATCATGGCAACGGTAAAAGAAATTGGCTATTAGAAATGAGTTATTAAAACTATTATGTTTAGAAATGTGTTAAAGTTTTATTTCTGTTAAACAAAAATATACAGGGGGGCTGATAATTCAGGAAGGCTAATAGCTCCGACTTCAATGGTATATACCTTTAATGCTCACGATATTTCAGACAAAAATAGTCTTATTTTGTGATTGTTTTATTGACCAGATACTGTTAAATGTTGAATTCAACTGTTTTTGCCATGAATATAGTCGTTGTTGCTGACATTACACATTATAAGTGTGTGTGTGTGTGTGTGTGTGTGTGTACACACATGAATGTATAAATAACGGAGTGTCCTGTCTGTGGTGTTGTAGTGACTCCGTGTTGGGAAGAAGTGCTGACTGTAAATGGCTCTGGCTGGAGTGATCTGGGTCTGCAGCTTCCTTCTCACATGACCAGTGTTCAGACTGAAAGCTGGACCAGTATGACCGTCCCGACTGAGCGTCAGACCAGCGAACCATCTGTCTGGCCACAAGATATGGAAGGTACTGGAAAAAACTGCTGTTAAATAAAAGTGCAAGATCTTTTGTTTCTCGCTAATGTTGGCATCTTATTTTTTATATGTTTATCCTTAAAGTTATGGTCTGATTATGGTCACTTGTCCTCTTTATTTTGTAATATTGATCATTATCAATTTGATAAGTACTATGTAAATTTGGGGTTTCATTTCTTTTACTTCATTACTAGGTCCAACCTTTTTTTTAGCAAAAATTCTCATATAATTTAAAATACAGTCAATCACATTATAGATTTTATTAAGTATTTTAATATATTTCTGTTGCTCTAAATGATGATGAAACACTATTTTACTCCCATTTTGATTTTCCCTGCAGTTTATTTGAAAAAGTAGATGAGATACTTGAATTTATTATGCTTTCTATGCAAATGAAAATAGAAAAAAAAAAAATAAATAAATAAAAAAAAATCACAATTTTATTTGTTGGAAACACCAGAAAGAGACGTCTCAATATTAAAGACGTAGTTCACTCAAAAATATAAATGTACTTCTAAAGCGTTTCCAAACTTTGTAAGATAATTGAAAACTGGTAATCAACCACATCCAAAATGAAAAAAATATATACACTACCTGACAAAAGTATTGTCGCCTAATAAGTTTTAGGAACAAATAATAACTTGACTTCTAGTTTATCATTTGGTGTCAGAAGTGGCAAAGGCCTCTAGATTACGCTTATTTTACCAAAATAAAATATGATCATGACTTGATTTTTAATTGTTTAATTAGGACAGTAAGCTCTGACTTTGCTTAGACAAAAGTCTTGTCACTGAACAGAAATAATGTACAGTATAGAATATGAAGTCACAGTGAAGTGAGAAAAGAATGAATATTGTGTATGACTCCCATGAGCTTGGACGACTGCATTCATACATCTCTGCAATGACTTGAATCACTTTTTAATAAAGTCATCGGGAATGGCAAAGAAAGCGTTCTTGCAGGACTCCCAGAGTTCATCAAGATTCATCTTTAAGGCCTCCTCCATCTTACCCTGGGCATGCTCAATAATGTTAATCTCTGGGGACTAGGATGGTCAATCCTTAACCTTCTTTGCTTTCAGGAACTTTGATGTGGAGGTTGAAGTATGAGAAGAAGTGCTATCCTGCTATAGAATTTGCCCTCTCCTGTGGTTTTTAATGTAATGGGCAGCACCAATGTCTTTAACATGTTGATGTTGCAGATCTCTCGAATGCCCCCAAACTGAATGCAACCCCAAACCATAATTTTTTACTTTACCAAACTTGACTGATTTTGTGCGAATCTTTGGTCCACATGGGTTCCAATAGGTCTTCTGCAGTATTTGTGATGATTGAGATGCAGATCAACAGATGATTAATCTGAAAAATCTACTTTCTGCCACTTTTACAAATGATCAAGTAGAAGTCAAGTTATTATTTGGTGCTTATGTAACTGGCGTAGTGTATATACTATAAAAATTTTTGAATGCCAGTTTCCAACATTCTTTCAAATATCTTTTGTGTTCATCAGAAGACTATAATTTTCAATTGTGTGTGAACTATCCCTTTTAAATTGTAATAATTGTAATATGTGCATTATTTCTTAATTTAGGTTCATGGACTATTGTGGATAGACCTAATATTCCTGTTACATTCAGTGGATTGCCTGCTGGTAATTACACATTTCTATATACATAATGTTGCTCTGCTTGTATTAAGCCTGGAACCATGAGCCATCACATACTACATTGAAATCCTACAACCTGGTCTATAAACAAAATAAAACATGTAGTAATTTGTATTTGCAGTGCCTGACCTAAGTTGGAGCGCTCCGCCTGCTGTGCCCGTGGATGATGAGTGGTCCGGAATAAGTATGAGTTTATATACATGTCAAAAAATGCTCTTATCATATGTAAAGTGTTGCTAAGACTTACTAATAGTTGCTGTTGTGTTCATCAGAAAGCTCATCTGCAGACCCATCGTGTGACTGGAACGCTCCATCAGAGGAGTGGGGGAACTATATTGAGCAGCAGCCTGTGAGCGCGGCACCGCTGGAGCAACCAGGCCCTGAAGTTCTGCAGGTCAGACCGATGTGCACTGGAAGCACTTTTTAAAATCTGAAATAATCATGAGAAGAAATCAAAATCAGGGTTTAACCTGCAGGTGACAATTCAGAATCTTTTCTACATTTAAAGGTCATGTGAAGTGCATTTTTATTTGATGTCTGACGTAATCTCAACCTAAACATGAAGAGGGTGGGGCATTGAGTAGCTCCTCCCCTTTTAAGAAAAGCAGCCAATAGTGTGTTGTTTTTATTACAGCTCTGCCAGTGAGAGTGGTTGAGCTCAAGCACATCAAATGAAGAGCAAATGAGAAGCGTCTTAAAGGGGGTGGGGCATGGTAGACACTAGAGCGCATTTGATTGGTCAGAAAATTTTATGAGAACGTGATGTCAAAAAACTTTGATCAATTTAGGCGGAAGTGACAAACTATATCTTCTAAACATGAATTTTGTCATTGTTTTAGAGCACACTACCATAAAGACATACTTAAAACTAACAATAGGCCTTTTTCATGCATTCAGGATAGGAATACGGAAGAACCGTTAGTCGTGTAAAGCGGTTTCTGGTCTTAACAACAATGGCTGAAGCAACATTGAGGGGGACACTGTATTTAAATATTTATTATTCCTTATAGATTAGAAACAGTTCTTGAGCCTCCACCATGATAAAAGGTACATTTCACACAAATATAAATAACATATACGGTAACTTATCATGTTTTCCTTAACCATGCTAATGTATTGATCGTCACCTACTTTTGTTCTTAAAGTAATTTTCATGAAAAAAATTATATCCTTTATTAAGTTTAGAATGTGGAGTGATAGAATGTCGGTCCTCAAACACGATAAACATCTGCAGACGTAAATGTTGGCACAGTTTTCAAAGAGGTAGTGAAAGCTAGCATATCCATCGCGACTGCCGGAAGTGTCTATACAAACTATTGCTGTACTGGATGTGCAATTAAACGTCTGTGAAAAAGGCCTATACTCATACAAACATCAAAAATATATCTTTATTTCACTGGACCCTTTAAATGGATTGATCACGCAAAAATGAAGATTCTGCCATCATTTACTCACCCTTCACTTAGATTAAACCAGCTTGAAAACCTGTACCCATTGGCTTCAATAGTATGGATGTTGGTGGTTATCATGCTTAAGGATGTCTTCTTTTGCGTTGTGGGTAAATGAACTTTAACTTTTGGGTAAACTATACTTTTAAATATACTGATTGTGGTTAGAAATAACGGCAGCCAGAAGAGAGATCAACGTCAAATTTATTGTCCTGCCCATATACTCACTCTTACATGCACGGTAATTCGTTTTTTGTAATTTGATGCAAAGAAGATATAATACACACTAAAATGCATATAAAAATGTACAAACTAAAAAATAATAATAATATATATTAAATATAAAAAATAAATACTTTAAATCAGAGATGTCCAAAGAAGGGCCCGCAGGCCAAATCTGAATTGAGAGGGAGAATGTTGGGGAGGTGGTTGAGGCAACTGCCTTTGACCGTGATCGTCATTTTGAATTCAGTGTAACCTTTTGTTTCTTAGTTTAATTGCTGAGCTACAAAAAAAGCCACCTGAAATTAAATGATACAATTAAATGATGTGAGTCAGACATTTAAAATGGAAATACGGTCACTTAACAGATAGAGGACAATCCACAAGTCATCTGCGAGCAAATCAAGGGGAAGGCAGGAGCAGCTCAACTAGTGTATTCTGCATTGAGCTCCATTGTGTTATAAATGGGATTGTTTATGATTGTACTGTTATAAGTTCAGTATAAAGTGTTAAAAATGATAATGCATTATGCCGAGTTCAGACTGTATGATTTTTAAAATAGTTTTCACACTGCATGACTATCTGGGCTAGCGTTTCATCACTGCTTTGTTTACACTGCAAGATGGATCGGCGACAGGAGAGTTCACACTGCATGACTTTACAATAGAAAGAAATCGCAGACAACTTTGTCCAAACTACATCTCGCAGCCAAAACCACGTCGAATATCTTTTGTTATTAACTACATAATGAGAAAAAAGCCTTTAATAGGGTAGAAAATGTACATATTTGCTCACCTGGGTTTGAAGGGAATTAGCAATTTCTCCTTAACTTTCTTTTTTAGCTTTCTGTATGAAACGTCAAACAGACACTAGTTTTCTTTTCTCCATTTCCAAATAAACTGAAAACGCGCGCTTTTAACTTCTCCCTCAACCCCTCGCTGACCTGCAGGTAGGTACGTACACACACACACACACACACACACACACACACACACACACACACACACACACACACACACACACACACACACACACACACACACACACACACACACACACACACACACACACACGTGAATGCTGCTCTCTCATTGGCTGTAGGCATTTGCTATGTTATTTTTCAGTCAAAACTCATTTCACCCAGCATGATTTGAGTTGCCGGCAGGTCCAGATATTCAGCATGCCGATGCCTGTGAGACATTTGGCGACTCAACGTGATTATCTCAGATCGCGTCTTTGGTAGTTCACACTGTGTGATTGTCACTCACATGCACGAGCACCGATTTGCCTGTGATTTCAGGCATTTGTCTGCGATTTCTCAAAACCTGTCGGCGAGTCAAAATCGGGGCTGAAATCATGCAGTCTGAACTAGGCATTAATTAATATAATTCAAAGCAAAATTTTTTTGAGAAAATTCCCCTTTTATTGTAGATGTATTGTAATTCAGTTTGGGATATATTTGGCCCACAGCCCTCAATCTAGTTTGGTTTTTATAGGAAAAACTTTGGGCCCCTGCTTCAAAACGATTTAAGATGCTGATGACCGTTAAACATGTCATATTGGCATTGTGAAACGGGTCCATATTATTAAATGTAATGTTTTCATAAATATATACTTACAAACTTTAAAACTAAATTGTTTAAATAACACAAATCTAAAATTGCAAAAATGTAACATTAAAAAACAATCTAGAATTGTAAAATATTATTTATTTACCTGGATGTTTTTTCCATTTGTCAGGAATCTGATGATGACAAGGATAAAGATGAATCTGGCACCCCTGGTAGCGGTAAAGCTAAGAAGAAGAAAAAGAAGAAGAAGAAGCTTGAGGACGCTGGACCTTCTGCTCAGGTGAGATATAGATTACCAGAAATTATATTGAAAAGAACAACTGATCTTTTTCGGTGAATATAATGGAGAATCTGTGTTTGATTCAGCCACAGGTGAAGGCAGAAAGCATTGTGACTCTGACACCGAGCGCAACAGTAAACATCCCAGCTGCCACAGCAGGGGTGAGCGCTCCATTTTTAAATATTCATCTAGCTGTTTGCTACAAAATGAGATGCTAAAGTTGTCATGTCTGCAGGCACGTGTTGAAGATGCTCCACGTGTCGCACCATCAGCCCCAGTACAGACTCAACAGAGAAAGAGTGGACCTGAGCCGACCGACAAATCCAAACCTGCTCCAACACAGAGTATGTTCCATCATCACGCAGAACAACTAGCAGTGTTTACATTTATTTGGTAGTGATTCTTGAAGTGTTTGTCCTAGAGTTTTTTTTTTTAACTCGCACTAACCCAGTGTTTCTCAACCACATTCCTGGAGGAACACCAACAATGCATGTTTTAGATGTCTCCTTTGTCTGTCATGCCAATTACAGGTCTTTCAGTCTCAATCAGGTGTGCTTGCTTAAGGAGACATGGAAAATGTGCAGAGCTGGTGGTCCTTCAAGAATGTGGTTGAAAAACACTGCCCTAAACCACACCAAACATAATGTGAATAATAACAATCTTTTCATAGTAGTACCTGAAAATTACACAAAAAGACAAAGATCATGCACTTGATGATTCCCTTTAATAAGGGAAAGAACTGCAATCCCATGATGCATTGCAAATGACAATCAAATTTAAAGGTGCAGTATGTAGCTTTGAGGGTGTATGGGGTGGTTCACCCAGTGTGCAATTTAAACTAGCACCGCCACTGCCTGCATACATTTAGGCCGTGTACATTTCAATATTTTCAATACGTCAACACGGAGTGCCAAAATATAATTGGGTAAACTAGCTGTGGGCGGAGTTACAGACCAAAACAAAGACATTTTCGAAGAAGAGTAACAGACTTTGCTATTGTTTTTATGCATGTTTAACCATTTAGTGATCATCATGTAATTGTTCTATTGTAACAATGTTTTAAGTTCATTGCAAAGTACACCAAACACGTGTACTTTCATAACGCAGTAAGGATCTGTTCTCACTGCGACTCTGATTGGTGGAATGTTCCTAACAGCTTCATGGGCGATGTAGTTTTTCTGCAAAAATCCCTGTTAAAAATGTATTAAATAATAAGATTTAAAGATTAATGTGAGCAGATGGGTTCAGCAGTATTCATAATCAACCTCAGAGCTTACAACCACTCAGTTCATCAAATTTACTATTCTAAAACCAAGACTTTAAGTTCATAAACCACTTTCTGCCTTTTCTCCTCCAGAAAAAACAGACGACACCTTGGAGTCCGTCAAACCCATTAAAAAGAAAAAAGCTAGACGAGAGACATGAAGAAACGGATGAGACGAGACAACATATGCAATCTTGGGCTGTACAGAATTTCATACGTCCTGAGTGACTCGTTTTGTTTTTTTTGATACCCTTCATCGAATGTGTTGTGAATCCCATCCTAGTGTCCACATCCTAATAGGTATCTCTAGATGATAATGTGCTGTAACGCTACACGTCACATGAAGGACGCTTCATTTGGAAATAGATTCTCTTTTTTTAATGTACGTTATTGCTAATTATACTGTCAATTTGATATGATTTTTATTTGCAGCAAAATGTTTTTTGTAAGAAGATCCTGGTGATCCTCTGGAAAGCACTAGGGATGCATTAAGAACATTTAAAGGAACACTCCACTTTATCTGTTGGAAATGGGCTCATCTTACAAGTCACTAAGACCTAAATCGTTTAGCTTTAACGTTTTTGAAACCATTTAGCCGATCTCCGGGTCTGGCGAGAGTGCTTTTAGCTTAGCATAAATCATGAATCGGATTAGACCATTAGCATCTTACTCAAAAAAAGTTTTGGAATAATTTTACAATTTAAAGCTCGAGTCTTCTGTAGGTACATCGTGTACTAAGACAAATAAAGAATGAAAAGTTGCTATTTTCTAGGTTGATGCGTGTAGGACCTATACTCTTATTCTGATGTAATAATCAAGGAACTTTTCTGACATAAATAGGATTATTATTAAATCTCCTCATAAAAAGCACTAGGGACGTATCAAGAACATTTAAAGGAACACTCCACTTTATCTTTTGAATATAGGCTCATTTTACAAGTCACCAAGAGCTAAATCGTTCAGTTTTAACGTTTTTTTGAAACCATTTAGCTGATCTACAGGTCTGGTGAAAGTGCTTTAGGCTTAGCATAAATCATTGAATCGGATTAGATCAGTGGTTCTCAAACTTTTTTCCATCAAGTACCACATCAGAAAAAAATTGTCTCTCCAAGTACCACCAAAATGAGCAGTATTGAAATACAGTAGTGTAGTAGGCCCAGTAAAGCAGCTACATCTCTGCACAGTTAAAACAAATATGGCAGATTACCTCAGAAATATAAGCTATATGTCATTAATGGCATAATATATACATCATTTTTGGTAAATTTTGAAATGTGTGTGGCATGTACATGACATATTTCATTCCTCCGCGTACCACTAGAAGGAACCCTGCATACCACTAGTGGTACATGTACCACAGTTTGAGAACCACTGGATTAGACCATTAGCATCTTGCTCAAAAAAAAAAAAAAAAAAAAGGTTTTAAAATTTTTTAAGCATATCTCCAGGTCTAGCGAGAGTAATTTTAGCTTAGCTTAGCATAAATCATTGAATCGGATTAGACCATTAGCATCTTGCTCTAATTTAAAAGAGTTTAGATGATTTCTATTTTAGCCTATATCAAGCCAATTTTAAAGGCTTGAGTCTTCTGTAGTTACATCGGGTATAAATACAGATAAACATTGAAAAGTTTTCTAGGTTGATGGGTGTTAATACTACACTCTTTTTCTGGCATAACATTTAGGAAACTTTCTGCCATAAGACAATTGTAAACTTTTTTTGTTTTTGAGATGCTAGTGGTCTAATCTGATTCAATGATTGATGCTAAGCTAAAAGTACTTCCGCAAGACCTATAGATCAGCCAAATTGATTCAAGAATTGGCAATCTCAACTCTAGGATTAGACCATTAGCATTTTGCTAAAAATAATAATAATTTTGATAATTTTCCTATTTAAAGCTCAAGTCTTCTGTAGTTACATCGTGTACGAAGACAAATGAAAAACGAAAAGCTGCTATGTTCTAGGTTGATGTCTGTGGGAACTATACTCTTATTCTTGTGTAATAATCAACAATGAACTTTCCTGCTGTAAATAGAAAAACAAAAAAAAAATTTTAGTAAGATGCTAATGGTCTAATCTGATTTAATGATCTATGCTAAGCTAAGCTAAAAGTGTTCTTGCGAGACCTATAGATCAACCGAATGGATTCAGGAATAGTAAAAATCAACCATTTAACTCTTGGGGACTTGAAAATGAAGTGTTCTTTTAAAGGGACAGTTGACCCAAAAATGAACATTTACTCACTCTCAAATTGTTCCAGAAAAGTTTTTTTTTTTACATCCGCAGAAAACAAAAGATTTTTGGTACCCATTTCTACTCGGTAGAAAAAAAAAAACAAAACAAAAAAAAACACTGGAAGTGCGAACTGTTAGTGACCTCATTCATCTGGTTGCCAGATTTCTTTAAAATATCACAAAGAAACTCTTATGTTTTGAACAAGTGAGTTAATGACAATATATTTGTTTTTTGGATGAACTGTCCCTTTAAGAAACGCATACAGGAACCAATAGATCATTAAGCTGCTACAGAACAACATGAGAAGCTTCATCTCATCCTTCATTCATGAAAAACACTGAGACGGATTCGAGTGCACTAACTTTGCTGGTTTGTTTAACTATCATTTGGAGGAAAAGCAGCAAATCAAGCCATATGTGAAAACTGAAACAAACTCTGAAAGACTTGCTGCTGGCGAGCACGAATAGATGACGCTATTATCTGACAAACAACTTCTTAACCGTCTGCTTTGGTGAAGTAGTAGTGACGTCGGCCGGGTTTTTTTTTTTTTCGTGATCAGTGTTACACCAGGTACAGCAGTGTCAGGAAAATTTTAATGCCTTAACTTGTGTTGTGCAAGACGGCAGCAACAATCTGTCAGCTGCATGCTGTTTCCTCTTTCGTATTTATTGGTTGTGTTTAACAAGTAATACAAATTAAAGAGTTTCTTTGCATGACTGCGTCAGTGTTTATTAAATCATAATTTCACCCAATTTATTCACCCTCATGTCATTCACAATAGCCAAGTTTTCTAATATTTAAATTCATTCATTTGTTTTCCTTTGGCTTAATCTCTTAATTGATCAGGGGCCGCCAAAGTGGAAGGAACCACCAAATATGGTAATATGTACGCAGCGGATGCCCTTCCAGCCCCAACACACCACTGGGTAACACCTATACACACTCACTCATACACTTATGCCAATTTAGTTCATGCAGTTTACCTATAGTGCATGTCTTTGGACTGTTGGGGAAACCGGAGCACCCGGAGGAAACCCACGCTAACACCAGGAGAACATGCAAACTTTACACAGAAATGCCAACTGACCCAGCCAAAGCTAAAACCAGCGACTTCTTGCGGTGAGGCAACAGTGCTACCCACTGAGCTACCGTGAATCTAATATTCACATTATCAGCTGTTTTTATTTGTTTGTACTTGCTTGGTTAGACCAAAAACATTTTCATTTACAATGTATAGACAAAAAGTGAAAACTTAGAAAATATATATATATTAGTTATTTAAAGGAGCACTATGTTTTCTTTTGGAAATAGGCTCATTTCACAAGTCACCTACAGTTAACATTTCAGTTTTACCGTTTTTTAACACATTTAGCTGATCTCTGAAGTTCTTTTAGCTTAGCATAAATCATTGAATCAGATTAGACCATTAGCATCTTGCAAAAAAAAGGTATTTTGATAATTTTTCCATTTAAAGCTGGAGTCTTCTGTAGTTGCATCGTGTACCAAGACAGACAAAAAGTTGCTAGTTTACAGGTTTAATTTAATTACAGGGCTAATTTACAAGAAACATTTCTGCCTTAAACCATGAAGTCACAAGGAAATAGAAATTTTTTATTTTTTTTAATTAAAGGTGCAGTAGGTGATCTGCCTACATGCTAATCAGTTAGCATAATATCTTTTAAATACAATCCTTCCTCTGCCTTCCAAAGTCACGCCTCCTGATATCACGAGTGCTCACATTAAAGATGACAAGATGACTAGTCTAGATCATGTCATTGCCCATATAGAAAACTATAGTGCTTTATAATGCTGCAATTCAGAATGAAAAACTGTATTGTATCTAGCACACTTTCAGTTATGCAGTTAGCAAGCAAAACTTGTCATCACTCTCTCATACGTTTTGTCCTAAAGTGACTACTGTATGCTTAGTGATTGGCTGGCAGGCTGCAGGAATTACTCTTATTACTTGGTAAACAATATCGGGAGCGCATCACTATTTACTGATGTTTATTTGTTAAACTATATAAAAAACGACAAAATCTATGATGCTGTAAAGGTCCATTATGAAACTGAAAATAGTCACATTAGGCTTTTGACGGAATATTTCAGTAGCTAAACACTTCTGTGCATATCTGTTAACCCAGTGGTTCTCAAACCTTTTTCATTTAATGCAGTTACATTTTCCCCGCCATGTCTTTATTATACGAGCATTTATTTACCCCAGTATATCTGGAGCTTCTGCGCTAGCTTGCCGATTCTGTCGGGCGCGTGCGAGTAAACGGCTTTTTGTCTTGTTTTACGATTGAGCAACTAAAATGCCAAAGTCTATTAAACTGAATGTATTTTAATTACATTACAACATCGATGCTGTAAAAGGAACCGTTTAAAATGAAAAGTCACCTTAACCGTTCACCGGAAGTTTATCAGTATGGGAAGAAACACTAGCTCCGCATATACCCTATTATGGGAATTAGCGGCCCAACAATATTTAATTGGATGACCATATTTTAGTCTTATGCCTTACCCAGAATATAAAAACACATATAAATACATTTAGATTATTTACTTTAATCATTACTATTGGAATGTGAAGAGACCAACTAAAAATCCAAAACATTACAACAGATTCTGGCGAGGGACAATATTGAGTGGCATTACCATCTGCTGCTGTCATATTATAAATGTATCATCTTATAATAACATGTTTAATATTTTGCATTTCTTAATTTATATGGGCATTAAAACTGCACACTAATATGCAACACGCTACAACATGGGTAAACTACTGGCATAATATAAGTTGACATTGGACATTTGATATTAGCAAATGTAGGGATCGTCTCTGACTGGTTACTTATGATATTTGAATGCACTTTTCTAACTTCTATAGCATTGAAATTCATCACAAATGAATCAGTTGTAAAGTGTTCATACAAGTGTGAACTGTAATGCACACCTTTTACGTTTTTATATTAATTCAAACTACAAATCATATGTAAAAATTCCATTTAAATTAAAAGCACTTCTTTTTAGTTAGCAATTTAAAGTTTTACAGCATTTGAGAAGAATAAATGACAACAGTAAAGTGTTCATGTTGATGTCAACTGTACTGCACACCTAAATATTTCTTATTTATAATAATAATAATCTGTAAATCACGTGTGCTCAGATGCAAAATATAATCTTAGTTAAACCTCAATAACACTTCTCAAAATCAATGGTAAACGGCAGTTGTTTACAGTGTAGACATGATTTCAGTTTATTTGAAACTATATGAACAAAAATGTAAAAAATAAATAAATAAAAAATAAAAAAGACACCTACATGAACACTAGCAATTTTTTGTAACCAATTCATTCTCTCAAATGTTACTCAAGTTAGAGTAACGTTAACGTTAGTATACTTGGAATGATCAAACTTAAAATTAAAGACACGAAAAAACACCTTGTTTAAATGTTAATATACACATATCATCAATTAAAACACTTTTTACCTATTTCTCGATTGCAAATTAGTGCACGCGCAAGTAGGAGTAGTTTTCTAAACATGTTTTTCAGCGTGTACTTAAAGCACTTGAGTTTCTTCTTCAGTGTTCAACAAAAGTAAGTTTAAAGTTAATAAATGCTCACTCACCTATAAATCTCTACTCGTTAAACGCTCACAGACTTGCTTCACCTCTTTCGTCGTCGGTTATAGCTAATTTCACTTCTTCATTGATTAGTCAGGTGCGTTACAGGTGCTCTGTTTATCCGTATTTTTACTCTTGTGCTATCAGATTTGCGGATTCGAATAGTTTGAGTAAAACACCGCCGCGTAGGGGCGAACATCGGGAAAGCATCTAAAATAAAGTAAATCTTGAAATATTGATTAGAATGAGCTTTATTATTCGCCAAGTACGCGCAAACACAGATGGAATTAATCAGGTTTACACGAGAAGAAGAAAAAAATACCCTTGGCAAATGAAGCTACCAGGCAACGCTTCTAGTTGAAGTAAGTCTTTTACAGCTTTCAGGCACACTGTAAACTCCACACAGCAAAAATATCTGTTATTAATTAACAGTTTCTGTACTTTGTGATTCACAAGTATTTTCTGTTCATTTACGGTTCTGAATTGCATTGTGGGAGCTTTATCTCTGTTCTGTGCAGTTTTGATGTTGAAAATTCAACTCTGCAGTTTTAACACAGTGATTTTTATTGACATTTTAGTAGTTTGAGATGAGATATTGTTTAAGAAATACTATAAAGAGAACTCATTCATTCATTTTCATATGGTTTTTTTCCAGGGCTAAGTCGCAGGAGCAGCAGTTTCAGGAGAGCCCAAACTTCCCTCTCTTCAGACACTTCCTCCAGCTCCTCTGCGGGGATCCAGAGGAGTTTCCAGTCCAGCCGAGAAACATAGTCCCTCCAGCGTGTCCTGTGTCTTCCCTGAGCCCTTCTCCCGGTGAGACATGCCTGGAACATCTCCCTAGGTAGGCATCCAAAATGAATGCCCGAGCCACCTCAGCTGACTTCTCCCGATGTGAAGGAGCAGCGGCTCTACTCCGAGCTCCTCCCAGGTGACCGAGCTCCTCATCCTATCTATAATGTATATCTATTTAAAATGTCAAAAGCAGCAAAAAAAAAAAAGAAAAAAAAAACTATTTGGGTAATTTCACTGACTTTACTGACAATTGTTCTTCTCAGTATCTTTCTTTTTTTGTAAAACTGCAACAAAGAGGGAGAAAGTAAGTATATATTCACATTTACTTAAACATGTTTAGTTCAGCCAGCAGTAAAATGTACATAGTTTTCATAGAAATCTCAATATGCATTTGAGGAAAATCTATTAAATGAGACCATTTCAATCGAATATTAGCTAAATTAGCGTATCGTGTGCACCATCAGTGTAACTTGTGAGCCATGAAGAAGTGTTTGTTCAACGAAATGCGTGGTATAAAGCTCATAATAATCAATCAAATGAACCTTGAATATTTACAAAAATAGAGCTGTAGTAAAAATAGAGCACTTATGCACATTTATTTCAATGTTTAAATCAGCCCCAGAAATAATCTGCATTGCGCTACTCTCAACCGCACACTGAGAGGAAACAAAAGTAAAACTGAAATGAAGTATAGTGCAGTACTTTAAACGTCCAATAGTTGGGGGGTCAAAACCACAAGCAAAGAGCTTTGAATCACCAAGAGGCGACATTCTACAGCGATTTGGGGAAACAGCCACTAGACGGCGTGGGGGCCATTTTGGAATGAAAATTCCAATAGAACAACAGCAGATTAGAAGTCTGTAAAATAAACTGTTAAAAGTGCTGATGATTGTGATAGTAAGTGTTGTATTGTCATCTTTCAGGTTGTATCTCAGCTTTAATGCACTTTTTAAATAAATAAATAAAAAGCAAAGCAGCTGCTTGCCAGCGCGACAGCAATAAGATCCAATGGACAGCCGATCACTTTCACTCTAAAATGGCAGAATCCGAGGCTGTTGCAATGGAACGTTCTATTGCAGGGGTGACCAACCCTGTTCCTAGAGATCTACCTTCCTGCAGATTTCAGTTGCAACCCATAACAAACGCACCTGCCTGTAATTATCAAGTGCTGTTCAGATCCTAATAAGTTGTTTCAGGTGTGTTTGATTAGGGCTGGAGCTGAACTCTCCAGGAAGGTAGATCTCCAGGAACAGGGTTGAGCACCCCTGTTCTATTGAGTGTCACCTCTTGGTCATTCTAAGCTCTTTGCCACAAGTGGCTATATGCACAAGTGATTCAAAAACATGTTTTAGTGGGCTGAATCTCGTTATATTTTTGACGTCAGTTGTGAGCCGAAGGGAGGAGGAGGGGGGCTGTAAATGACCCATGGTCGAGAGTTTGAGACCCCTGATCCAGAGGGTGATAAGTAGAACAGCCAAAAATGAGGTTGGTGTCGTGATCTTGTTCCTTTCGAGTATGCATGCACCTAACATGCTTGGGCAACCTGAAAATATGCCGATTTTGTTTGATTTGTACATTTAAATACACAACTCATGAGACAGCTGTTGTTTGGTGATTCCAAATATGCAATGTGATCATAAGCTTGGCAAACAGTTTTGGAGAATTTGATGTTTCCCAATCAGACAGAATGCCCTAGCATACTGCCAGAGAATCATTTTAAAGATGGCCGCAGAGTAAAATGACTTGCCTTAAAGTGACTTTGACTGTACGGAGAGAGAATGATGCACAAAAACAAAGCCCCGCCCCCCTACTCAATATTCCATTTCAGTTAGAAGAACATCAACATACTGAAATAATCTCTCCGCAACATCCGCTTCACACAAGCTTGATCAAATCACTACAAACCCAGCAGAAACAAAAGACGCCAGCCATTTCATACATTAACGTTTGTTTTTATTAAATCATCATAAGGCCGCTGAGTAGTGTGCAGACTTCAGAAAGAAAATCGAATGCCCCGCACCGAGAGCACTGCCCACCGAAGAACTTGAGATTACGGACGCCCAATAAGGCACATTTAGAAACGTCTGATCATCATCCCACCTGAGTAGTGTGCAGCCCATCATCTCTACATATCAAACTATAGCATTCGTGGCTGAACAGCGCAAAAAAGTAGTACCTTCTATGATGGCGATCGGGATAATTATCAAATATAAATTCTCAAAGGTGAAGCATAAACATTTCCAGTCACCAATTACAGCTAAAAATCAAGTCAAAAAATACACACTGGTGATTTTTCTATGACAACACAGACTGGTGTAATATATGGACAGGTTTAAATGGCCTGACCATAGATGACCACCAACATCTCTGCATTAAAAAAAAAGACTTTTAAGCAAAACGGGGGAAAAAAAGAAAGCATGCTTAAAAAAATATGATATGATTATTTTTGGTATCTCTGCCTCAATAACCCAACACCATTTTTTTTTTCATTCAAACAAGCACTTAAAATCTCCAAACACGGCAAACATATTAAAGAGATTAAAACCTCCACCTTTCACATTCACCCAGAAATCAGCAGCTTCTGAAAAACGTTGAGATTTATCAGTCTCACAAACACAAATCCGAGACGCACGTTTGCTTTCATTCACCTCACGCATGCACAGATCCGTCTGAAACAGTCGTGTTTTTTGGTAGCCGGACCATCAAGAGTCTGTTTCACTATGAAACTGTGGGACATTCAGATGGGGACGATGCATTTTCAATATAAGGAAATTGTTAGCTAATTTAAAGTAATGCATTTGTATTCGTTTGTCATCAATATCGGTCAACTGCTCAATTGTAAAAGTACATTTGAGAATATACTCAATTCCTTTACAACATGTCAACTATTTCAAATCACTCCAATGTACAAGTTGCATTAAATGGTTTGATTTATCCCAATATGTGCAATTCTTAGAGTGGTAGAGTGGTAAATGGTTTTATAATTGTTTGCACATTTGTAAAAATGTAAATGATTTATGCAAAGCATGGTTTAAGCAATGATTTCAGATGAGAGGTATTGTAAAAAGTTGAAGGATATTGGTGCATTTAAAAGGACAGTTCATCCAACTTAATTATGTCTCATACTTGAATTATTACAAACCAGTTCGTATTTTGTTCTGCTGAGCCCTAAAGAAGATATTTTGAAGAATGTTGGAAACCAGTAACTATTAACTCCCATAGTATTTGTTGAATATTTGACAAAGAATGTCAAACAGGTTTGGAGGTCAAGAATTAGTAAATAATGACAGTTTTAATTTTTTGGTGAACTATCCCTTTAATGCTACACTTTTCATCAAGCTTTATGAAAATAACGTTTAATGCGTTAACTGAAATGAGGCGGAGTATTTTACGCGAGTTCTTTCGATTCATTCAACCAATTTATGCAAGAACAAATTTACAAATATTCAAGCAGTTCAAGCAGCAATTCATATCTCAAAGCAGCATTTTGTATCAATCATACTAAATTATGCATGCTTGCACAGATAATGTACAATACTGCCGCATTTAACAATATTCCAAATGTTAGCGCACTATTTGTTTCACCACTTCACATAAAATGGGTTTTATAGCAATGCATTTGAATGCGACAAATCAAATTTAACAGCACAATTTTAATATATTTAATTTTTTGTGAACGTTCACTTTGATTCACTGCAAAACTGTGTGTGAATATGGTTTATAAATGTATATAATAATTTCAGTAATTTATGGTTTAATGGTAAAATGCCGGTTTTACAAATGTTACTGCATTTGATTCTACATAACTATTCATGTAAAAATGGCAAAAAAGTACTTTTTTAACATTAACAATAATTTTATAGTAACTATTTAATCGAATTTTTATACTGAATTCAACTTTACTGAGATATAAACTTCAAATAATGAGTGCAAGTGGCTCTTAATTTTTAGTAAAAAAATGCTGGACTCAAATGAGAATGAGACAAAAAAACCTGAAGACTGAACTCAACGACCACAACACGATGCTCTCTGTGCTGATATGACATTTCCTCACCGTAAAGAAAGAAAAGGGCTACATTCAACAACTCCACTCCTAATCCAAAGCAAACGACAGAACCGCACACAACCAGCCAATCGCAAGCAATAAAACAAAACTCATGCAGACAAAATATAACGTGTCGAATAAATCATGAAAACGAGAGGCAACGTGTTGATTATAAAAGCTAATATTATTACTCAGCCAACCAAAAGGCAATTCGGGAATGAAAAAAAAAAAAAGTGATGAGAAACTCAGTACAAGTAGAGTGGTTATTACTACCAAAGAGGCCAATTCTGACGGATTTGCTCAAAAATGGAATATATATCCATTACTTCACCCATCAGGAAAACAATACAGTACGTAATCAAAAGCACTAATTTACCGCACAGAAAATGCAACTGACTCACAGAGTAGTGCAGCAAACAATGTTTGCGTATGCAGCACATCGGCCTGCTTCACTATTTCATTCGTGTGGCAGAAAAACTAACATGGTTCTCTCCTAAAAGTCGGCCAGAAACATCAACCATGACGCTTCAATAGTCATGAAAGAAATGTAAGGAGCGAGTGCAGCTTGATTCTAAGGCAACGGAGGTTTATAAATGGTGCCGATGGGGCACGGAGGACGCACGAGGAGTTTGTCCGTCAGGAAAACGCATCCTCTCCCTGCAGAGCGATCCCCAGTTTCTGCAGCGTCCTGACTAATAAAGTGAACCAGTGAGCACAGGATGAAACTTTGGAGGAAGAGAAAGAAACAAGAATCGTGAGACCACTAGATGGCACCAGAGGAAACTGAAGGTCTGTGGTGCGGTAAAGGCGTCCTGTGGATTCACTGGCCATGTGCATTGTGGGAGAGTGGTCAGCATTAGGGGATGGGCATGAATTCTGGGAGATGGTTAGGAAGCTGGTTTATTTTTGGTCGGGTGCAGGCCTGCCTCTGTGCCGATGTTGACTGTGATGTTGGCGTAGAGGGGTTGGTAATCCCGGGATATGATCTCATACTCCACTGTATTCATGCCGTCTTCTTTCCACGTATGACGGGTCTTGGCCAACATGTTAAACCTGCGGGAGAGGAAACAGACTTGAGGAAGGAGGAAAGACTGGGAGATAAAGTCAGCATTTCACCTTTGTTTGTGTTCAGGTGTGGTCACTTTTAATGCTGTTCTGGGAATTTATACAGGATGAAAAATACTAGTTTCAATAATAAATCAACACAATTGTGATCAATGATTTTAAGCTGGTCATGAAGCACTGACCAACTGAATGCTTCTTGCTTTGAAGTTTTTTCTGTCTGATGTACAGCTATGGAAAAAAAGACAAGTATTTATGACTTTTAAATAAGAGTTTGAATATAAAAAAAATTATAAAACCAATAAAACAAATTATGTCAAGTACTTTACTATAGTATGGTTTAAAACAACTTATTGACTATACATTACTAATAATGTTTTTCATGCGAGTATGGTAAACTTATTTGTGATTACCAGTGTTAAAATATAGTTTCTTTGTTATTTGCATTTGGTTCTTTCATCAACTATGCATATGCTAAGCTATTGTGAAAAAAAAACTTGTTTACAAAACAGGTGCTATTCAGTTTATAATTCCAGTGGTAACTGAGTTTATTAGGTAAATTAGTACTAGTATCAGTGAACATCACAAAAATGTTAAGAATGTAGTTTATGTAATCAGCTTGCTGATATAGATTTGCTATGTGTAAGTTTATATAGTTTACAGAGTTTTATACAGTGTACAGACTCTCACAAGTGTATCTCGAGTTATTTTGTGTGATAGTTAGATATATTTAAATAAACTGCAAACAAAAAAACTTATTTTTTTCTCAGATTCTTTCTTGAAACTCATTATGCAGCTTACTATGCAGGTCTCTGTCTTCTCAGGTGTGACTCAATGCAGAGTAATGATAGTTCACGCTTTCTTACATAGACCAATTTCACTCAAAAAGTGACTTAGAAATTAATTCATTATATTGTTTTCTGTGAGCAAGTAAACAAGATGATTCTCACATCAATTTGAGGAAAAAACACTCCAGTTCTCAAAAGTATAATGCACAATTGATCTCTGTGTGTTTTATGGCCTTGTTTCAGTGACTTCAAAATTTTAATTAACACATACAAACATTCTGCTAGGTATTATTGTAGCCCAACTTGTGCTGTTTACACTGTTATCACACTTTAGCCATTAATATGTTTTTAAGATACTGAAAACAAAACAAATGTCAGTGCATGTCAAAACTTCTCCAGAGCCCCAAAACACCCTTAGACCCCAGAAGGTTAATAAAAACATTTTTCTTTTGTCTGAACAAATGTCATTTTACACTTACATTGTTCCACACTGTTCAGGTAAATCCAGAGAAACAGAATACTGTAGTGGACTTACTATTTACTAGGTAAAAATACACACATTTGTTCCCCAAATGTGTGTTCTAAGCAAATACAGTGTTCTATATGCCTTCATTTTAACAAATCAATATTTAGTTTTTCTTTTCAGTATGTGCCGTTTCAGCTGATGCATAAATAAAAGTTTCTTTTACACAATACATCACACTTCCTACCTGTACTAAGAAGCTTTGTGTTTAGTTGCTTTTGACAAGAAACAATGTCATCTTTAAAATACTGTTCATTAATTAATTTTTCTTTGGCTTAGTCAGAGGTCGCCACAGCGGAATGAACCGCCAACTATTTCAGCATGTTTTACGCAGCAAATTCCAGTTGCAACCCAGTACTGGGAAACACCCATTCTCTCTCCCTCTCTTTTACACACACACACACACACACACACACACACACACACACACACACACACACACACACACACACACTTTCAGACAGAGGTTTAGCAGCCTTTGACTACTTTTGTTCTCTTTAAAAGGGAAATACTTAACAAATATGTAGCTTAGATTTACATTAGACAATTAAATGTTTTATTTATTGTTGTTTTTTATTTATCCATTGTTCTGTCATTTTCTTTCAGTGTAAAATTATTATTTATGTTCAATGCCAAAAACTTTTATTCTATATTTTAAATCCAAAGAGAGAAATGGACTCTTATTTGTTTTTCATTATTATTAGTAAGTGCTGTATTATTTGATTACTGAGCAGCAATAAATAGCACTTTAAAATACAAGGAGTTTTCATGTGTTTTTCTAAACTGGTGTTTTGAAATTAATAAATGCATAATAATCATGATAACCATGATTATTACCCAGACGATAATCATACCACTAAAATCTATAACCCTTGCATCCCTAATAACAATAAACAGCAGTTGAATGTAATAGTTTGACCTCTGCTGTTAATACTAGCCTTGAAACTAAGATTTATAAGCAAGTGATGCTTCCTTAATTAGTCAAGCCAAATTGGCTGATTATCCTTAAGAAAACTGAGAATATAATTGTAAATGAATTTATTTAAACAAAGCCACAAATTCTTCAGCAAAACACTGGTTCAAATGTAATGTTTAGAAATTATTGTGAATTTATTAGGTGCTTAGTTAACAATTTATTTTATGGTGTTCTTGTTGCTCATGTTCTGTGTAAATGACAATCAATTACATACAACTAACCCAAATCCTTATCCTAATTAATCAATATTACTCAGTACTTAAATTAAAATGTGCACACTGTAACAAGGACAACCTAAAATAAACATTGACCAGTGTTTGTACTGCAATTCTACCTTTTGGGATTCACTTCATTGCCTTTGTCGTGCTTGTGTTTGATCATCTTATATCGACCCACGTTGATGGATGGTCGGCTGATCACCATTCCTCCAAGCGAAACCCTGAGAAGAGCAAAAAAGTCACAAACGGTATTGAAAAGTATAAGAACATATTAGAAAAAATATTTGGCATTCAGTTTACCAGAGAGAATTTAACTGGAAAAACAGGCCAGTCGCCACAGCACAGCAGCACTTGGCAACAGAATAACAGCGTTATTTAAATTTATTCTAGGTAATTCAATACAGGTTCTACATTTTGGTAAATAGGTATTGTATTCTGAGTCACAAAAAGTTATTAAAAGTGCAAAAATAAATGAACACTTGAAAGTTTATCATCAGTAAGATTTTTATTTAGGCTTTTATTATATTTGAATTAAATTATTATTTTTATTCAACAAGGATGCATTGAAGTGGGAGTGAAGCACTTAGTCAGCCCTTGACCTCAGACACAGTGATATTCTATATAAGATATTGGTGCCCTTGCACTAAAAGCTATAGTAAAGCACGTCTTTTTTTCGAAACGGTTACATTAATCAAGCTTGTGTAACATATTTCATTAAAGTGGAAACCAATTTACAAAATAATGTAAACTTGACTGACTGCTTCTCTTCCACTTTAAAAGGTCATGAATCCCCTGACTTAATTTTCTGAGATTTGAATAGATTTATGAGTGTTGAAGATCAATAAAGACAATCTGTTAGCTTTAATTGTAGGAAACAACTTGGATTTTGTGCTTTCCCCCCCTAATTTCAACTTGCAGATTTAAAATCAATATTAGGGCATCTGCACTGCGCATTCTTCTGATCAACTATTATTCAGTTCTTATCCAATGAGAAGACACTACATCTGCATTATTTGGTCAAGCTATGGTAACTGGGTATTTGTGTGTCTAAATTTTAAAGTAAGCCCTCTTTAAATATAAAAATAGTGCACTTTCTCATGTTTTACAAGTCAGTATGGGCCACTGACGGATGACAGTTCCTCTTTCTCTCCTGTCCAGTCCTAGCTTCTGCTTTTTACACCCAGAAGTAATTTTTTTTATCATTATTCTGAGATGAACTTAAACTGAATTGAGGGTTTTAGGACTCTTTACACCAGGGGTGTCTAAACCTTTTCATATAAAGTGAAAAAAACAAATATCATTGATAGCTCTGGGCCGAAGATGATTTTACTTTAAAGTTGCCGCTGGTAATTTTCTAATTCATTTCATAATATTAAAAAGTAAAACATTTATTTGAATTGTATTAAATAATGCAAAATAACCTCTTTTAATTATAACTTATTGCAACAATAACAAACAATCACATCTATAACACTGAGCTCAATGCTGAATACACTAGTAAAGCAGAATCTGCCTTGATTCGCTCACTGAAGTCTTAGCATGGTCCTTTATTTGTTGTATGTATATTTGAAACAAAATCTGATTAATTTACACCATTTATATTATAACATTTAATTTCGGATATGCTTTTGTAGCTTAACAATAAAATAAACAAAGAAAAGGTTACAATAAATTTAAAATACAATCTCTAAACAATTCTCAGATGGGATGGTGGGCTAAATCAAAAGTTACAATGGGCCAACTTTGGCCCCTAGTCGGTCCCTAGTTTGGGCATCTCTTTTTTAAACTGACTCTTATAAGTGATGGTAAACAATACATAGTCAAAAACTACATTTATACATTTATAGTAGCTCTAAACCAAAATATATTATATTTCAGAACATCATAATACATTATATATATATGTCATATATATATCATTAGATATATATGACATGATATACATGATGATTTATGATATGATATGCTATATGACATATGATGATATTTGATATATGAAATTATATGTTATATATATGTATATGTATGTATGTATGTATGTATGTATGTATGTATGTATGTATGTATGTATGTATGTATGTATGTATGTATATATATATATATATATATATATATATGTGTGTGTGTGTGTGTGTGTGTGTGTGTGTGTGTGTGTATATAAATTGATATTGATATACAATATATATGATATGACTTATGAAATATGATGATATATGAGATGATAAATATTAAATAATTAATGATATCATATATGATGATATATAATATGATATCGAAATATCAAAACAAAGCAGAAAGCTGTTATTTTAAAATTCATCTTGCACAATATCAATATTTTATTACTGTATTTAAACTACAGCATAAAAATATTAGATTTTCTGCAATGTGGCTGAGCAGACGAGCAAATAAACTTGGCAAACAAGCCCCTATAAAGCAAACAGCAGCAGAGCTTCAGATGTGGACACTTGACAAAGCTTTAAACAGACAGGTGGTTCATGGACAGATCTCCACCCACACAGACCCCTCCATTAACACACAGACACACACACACACTCGTTCAACCCCTACAAAACAAATAAACAAGAGCTGCTCACCGGACGCCAATGTCGTCATCTTCTCCACCCCAGCCCCAGTAATTATTCGGGAAGCCGTTCATCTTGAGGTATTGATCAGGACTCAGAGCCGACACTCCACCAAAATACATCTTATAAGGCAACCTGAGTGGGAACAGGCAGGAGAGGCACGACAATATAAATGTCAAGCTATTCATCATTTTAGTTTAGTTCAGTGGCATATTGATTTGTGCTTTTTGAGTGTTCACAAAACTTCAGGCATTTTAGTGTTACAGGGAACTGCTTTTATTAGTGCTGAATATCTGTGCTGGTTGGAACAGGTTTTTGTTTTTGAGAAAAATGCCAAATGAATGAATGAACGAATGAATGCACTTTTGGTGGAATAACCCAGACTTTCATGTACATTTATTATTTTGAAAAATTATTAATTTTTTTTATTTAAAACAATATTATTTTAGTAATTATTGGGAATGGTTGTTTTGATGAATGAATGAAGTTTAGAAATATTTGTAATTTTGTAACAATACTTCTGACTTTCATGGACATTCGCTATTTTAAAAAAAAAATACTTTCACAAAACTAATTTAAAAATTCTAAAGGATCATATTTTGAATGAATGAACGAAGTTAGGAAATGCACCTTTGGTGAAATAAGAAGAAATTAGTTTTGAGAACAATGCTAAATGAATGAATGAATTGAGTTGAGAAATGCACCTTTGGTGGAATAAGAAGAAATAATTTGTGAAAAAATGCTAAATTAATGAATGATTGAATGAATGAAGTTAAGAAATGCTTTTTTTGTGGAATAACCCCGAGTTTCATGTACATTTACTATTTTGAAAAATTGTCAATTTTTCACAAAACCAACAAAAATGTTCTTAATGACAATAATATTTTAGTAATAATTTGGAAGGTTTTTTTATTTTTGAGAAAAAAGCTAAATGAGGAATTGAATGAATGAATAAATAAAGTTATGAAATACAATTTTGTTGGAATAACCCAGACTTTCATGTACATTTACTACTTTGAAAAAATAATTATTAATATTAATAATTTACAATAGGTTTTGATTTTTAAGAAAAATGATAAATAAAAAAATGAATGGATGAAATGCAGTTTTAGTAGAATAACCCAGACTTTCATGTACATTTACTATTTTGAAATATTGTCCATTTTTCACAAAGCTAAAAAAATGTTTTAAATAACTTTTTTAAACAATTTAGAACAGATTTAATTTTTTGAGAAACTGCTGAATGAATGAATGAATGAATGAATAAACGAATGAATGAATGAAATTAAGAAATGCAATTTTGTTGGAATAATGCAGATTTCATGATGATTTACTATTTTTAAAAATGGTAATTTTCTGAACAAACCAACAAACTAACAAAAATGCTCTAAATTACCATTTTTAATTAATAATTTAAATAATTTATTTATGTGTAACATTTTTCAATACTAAAACAAACTGAATGTCATAGTAAGTTTTAGGCTTGAATGTTATAGTAAACTCATTCTTTAGTTGTTGTGATGGTTTATTTTTGCTACATTTAAAATGTTTCTAATATACAAGTATTCTTTAGAAATCTACTCAAATGTAGTTAATAATTGATCACATAACTGATAGTTTAGGTTTCAATATACATTAAAAAGTAGCTTATAGATCATTTTACTCTATGTATGTGTGTTTACTCCACAAATACATGTACCATTTCCCACATGTGCTTACTCCTATGTGCAGGTAAATCACAGGCAAATGAATTCAAATGAAATGCAGGTTTGTAGCATTTGGCTCTAAACGCATACTTGTAGCCAAATTTGTCCATGGCGATGGCAGCGTGTTTAGGGTGAGCGTCGCAGATGTAGGTGTTGCGGTCGTCCTCTGGAATGAGGTCCACGTCATGAAAGAAGAGACAGTCCCAGTCCTCATCCCTCATGGCCTCACGAAAGCCCACGTTCATCAGCTTCGCTCGGTTAAAGGTGTAATTACCAGCCTACACAGACAGACAGTCATCGCTATTGAACAATTCATAATCAAAAAACTCAGCATGCAGGTTTAATCATTATTAAGTGCCTATAAAGAGTGAATCCATATACATCCAATTAAGCAAATACTGATGAAATGAAGCGGTGTAGCTTGAATAATAGACATTTTCTACTCATATAAAATGGACTGAATCAATAATGTGCTTAGGATTTTTTTTTTGAGAGCAGATTAATATGGATTACGGTCTAATCCTTGCCCTCTTGACGTGAGGTAGCAATATCAAAGTCAGGAACATAAGCAAGAAGAGGATTTGTATTTCTTATTGTAATCAATCACAGTCTTGTCTATGGAGTTTTTTTTATTTTATTTTAAACAGATTATCATACTATTAAAGTTTGTAATTAAGTTTAAAAGGAGTAGTTCACCCAAAAATAAAGACTGTCATCATTTACTCAATTTTAGTTTCCGTTTTTCCTACTATGGATGCTAATGGTTAGCAGTTTCCAGCATTCAGAAAAACAATCAAACTGGTTTGGAACAAGTCAAGGGTGAGTAAACGACAATTTAAATTTTGATGCATACTTAAAGAAAAATTTCTTAAAATAAATTAATAGATAAAGGTGCTGTATGTACGTTTATGACTCTTCTAAAGCATAAAAATACCACAAAACATTAGCAAATATTTCAGAAACATGCCAAGTAAACATTTTTCATCTGAAAAACAATGCTGAAGTCAGATAGTCTGCTTTGAAAATGTGTGCTACATGCTAGAACATCTGTCTTTGTTTTAGTCCCTTTAACCAGCCCACTTACAGTTTAGCCAATTATATTTCAGCACCGCAGGTTGCCTTGGTGGAAAACTGCGTGTTTCATTCATTCAGTCATGAAAGCTCTCAAAGCATGCATCTGTGACCGAAACGCGACCTCTGGTGGACAGTAGCAGACTCTAAAATGAGTCACAGATTCAGAGTTCCACATGAGGTGGATATTAATTATCAAATAATATAATTAAGAATGTAAACATTAGGTAAGCAGGTTACATTGTAACCCAGTGTCCAAACAACACGCTATGTGAAGAGAGCGATATGCAATTTGGCTGTTTGCACCAGACAAAACATGATAGAAATTTAAATACAACCATTGTGAAGCACAGAATACAAAAACTCCTTTTGTTATGGAAAATATTGCACTTGGACTCTTCAGAGTAGGAACCAAGTGAAAATGTATTTTGTTTCAGGAGGTATTTGATCCAATACCTACTTCAACCATGGGGAGTCAAACTTGTAAGGATGCTAACCCTGAGAACGGTTATGGAATTCCACACAAGACACGACCAAGAGTATTGTCCGGCACTAAAACAATAAACTTTCTAATCTGAGAAGAAGGAAACTGCAAGGAAACCAGTAGTCAACCAGTTGTTCAGGTTGTCTCAATCATGCATCCTGACTTCGGGTAAACGATGAACCATTACCTGAAAATAAGGATTTATTAGGTTAATCGATCTAAATTAGACCAAATTACAACCTAAAAGATAATTAGTTTGAATTGTATGAATCTAATTTTTAATTATTATGTATTGGAGTCAGATTAAATTTGGAGCTGGAAACAAACAAAAATAAATTAACAAATAAAAATATATATTTTCACATGGGCTAAAAAGTCTTACACCTATTTAACCATCACCCATACTGTTAGTTGGGTCATAGGACTAATAGATGGACCTTTACAGTGTAGCATACTGCACTTTCAAAAAATACCAAAAAATTCAAATAAACTAAACTTAAAACGAAACAGACATAAAGCCTATAACATTAACTAGTTGTTAAAATAACAAAATTACATTAGACTATGTTAAAATAAACAAGAAAGTAACAAAGAAAACTAGGTTAAAAAATTAGGTTAAGCGCAAGATTTTAGTGTCTAAAATTGACAAAAAACTATTTTATAAACATAAAAAGCATTAAAAGGCTAGTATTGTCTCCTTTAAAAGTTTCAAATAACTTTTGTGCGGAAAAGGCCAATTAAGTCCCATTATGATTGCAACAAATATTTTTAAGTAAACGTGTATAAATCTTTTGATGCTTAAAACCATTTCTTGCCATCTTTGACCATTGCGTTTACATTTATGTAAGAATAATAACTCCTTAACATATCCTGTGATCAAGTAAAAGCCCATATACTGTAAACTCATCTGGCACAAACAGGATTTCAATCTCATTGAGCTTCTCAGGTCACAAGCAAAAACAATTCAAAACTCAAAATGTAATGCCGTACATCTATAATCCTACCTAAAACTGTATTAACCTAGGAAACAATAATAACAAAGCCTGTCTGAATTTGGCACACGGTTATATTAGGATCATTTGCATTGAAAAAATGAGAGATCATCCAGAAAACAGAGCAGAAGATGACCAGTGATTGACCTGTCAGAGTAAGTTGTGCAGGTTTGCTTTGAGATTGAATGCTGTAACAGGATAAAGCGATTACAATAGGCTCGCACCGGAAACAGCAGGAAGCACAGCTGAGTTGAATTATGATACAGCTGCATATTCCACAGGTAACCAAGCAACAAATGCATCCTTGTGCAAAATGTGAATCTGGAGGTCTAAAATGAACACTCCACGTGTGCCAACTGAGAATAAAAAAAAACTGTTTTGGCAACCAAATATAAAATAATGCATGGTTGAAATTAGGATTAAAGTCAGATTAATAAGTCTTTGTTGATGCGAGTGAAATCACAAAGATGATTTTTTTTTTAAAAAGAGTGTGATAATCTTCGGTTCTTTTTTGCCCATTTCCACCGAGCAGTATGGTACTGTTCGACTCGGTACATCCACATTCCATTACACCATTAAAAAATAAAATAAAATAATAAAATAAATAAATAAATATATAAATATATATATATATATATAAATATATATATATATATATATATATATATACACATACACACACACACACATATACATATATATATATATATATATATATATAAAAAACAACAAGCCATGATCCACCCAAGTTCAAACAAAACTTGTTGTCATCTTGATGAACAGCCACAAATCCAAGAACAAAATCTGCTGTCTAAAAGTGGTTTTACTTTCTCCAGAGAGCTCAAGTGCACTCGCCAAGGGTCTATATTTAAAATAACAAACTTCTTGAGCTAATGATAATAACGTGCGTGTGATTATTAAAGTGCTTCTGACATCCAATCCTTTCAGAAACGGACAAACGCGAGAGTGATGTGCAAAAAAATGAAGGAAAAAGCTGAAAAAAAAATAAAGGAGTAAATGATTCTTTCAGCAACCTAAAACATGAACAAGCTGCCGTGTTTAACTATTATCATCCACTTTTACACTATTATGAACTCGAAATGAAGGCATTACCTTTTTAACAGAGGTTACATGTGCTGGTAAAGATTAAAGAAACAGATGAGAGGTTTGCACTGACTGTGGGCTATAATTTTTGTTGTTTTTGAAACCAAATAAGGATTAAATGTAACCATTGGTAACTATTTGGCAATGAAAATCGCAAGACTGATAAAGGCTATATCTGCATTTGTTAAACCATTTTTATTCCCAATGTGTGATCAACTTACAACAAAACTAAAATAGAGCACTGTCTATGAAAGCATGAAAGTATGTTGACAGTGACTATGTTTACATGGACATCAGTAATCAAAGTATTTGCTTTAATCTGAGTACAACAATAATATGATTAAGATGTTTAAATGAGTTGCGTTTTGAATATTACTTTTATAATCCTGTCTGACATGTTACAGCCCATAATTCGATTAAAGTCATTGTGTCACCGTGCTATCCACATTTCCTCCAAAGTTTGAAGTAATTTCAGGATTTTCATTTTTAATTTGTCAATTTAACTGGAGTTTGGCACTTTCACTTTCATTAAAGAACATATCATTCATGCCCCATGACAAATGAGATATTGAATGAGAGTATGAACTAATAGAAGAGTGTTGCTTTAAATGGAATTTGATACCGCACGGCATATGGGGGGGCCTCTGCAATTCGCAATGCAGGTGTCTGTGGTCCTTTACTGACTCAGTAGGTGGAGAGAATAGTGACAAACATCCGTCTGTGTGTGTGGAAAATCCAGTCGCAAAATGCAGCACAAGTCCTACACAACGATAATAGTTTGATTGCGGTTTTTACATGTCTGTACTGCACTTCAATTATGAGACTAAAATCGGCATACTTCACATGTCTTAATTCCATTTCTGTTTAGTTCGATTATGACTTTAATCAGATTAAATTAATCAAAAATAGCTGTTTACATGGCAGACTCTTAATCAGAGTATTGTCTTAATCGCATTAAAATTGGTTTGTTCGAGTCCATGTAAATGCCCAAACATTTTTTTAAGAAGAGCCAAAAACCAATTTTGATTGAGGGCTGTGGGCCGAAGGTAAATAAAGCAATTTATTTATTTAAAGTTGCCATTGGTAATTTTCTGATGTACTTCATAATATTCAGAAGTAAATAGCAAAAATTACTTTAATCGTATTACCTAATGAATTACATCTTTTAACATCTTATAATGAATTTATTACAATAAAAGCAAATAATTCATTTTATTGCACAATGAAGTTTAATACTGTTTACACTAGTCAAGTTGTTGAGGTCTTGTGCATTGTCATCTATCCGTCAAGTGACACTATTTACATAAAAATAAAAAAAAATCGGATTCATTTATATTTACGTACTCAACAACATCTAATTGAAATGTTTAATTTCAGTTCGTTTTTTTTTTAACTTAACTATAATACAAACAAATTATTAAGCTAAATATAAAGTTAAATTATGTTTATCTATAAGTTAAATAAAGATTTGGATGAGTTTAATCAGAAATAACAATATCTGTTAAATCTATGTAAATAAATACCTGTCATTCTCCTTCTCTTCTTAGATGGGACAGTGGGCCAAATCAAAGATTACCACTGACCCTAGTTTGGGCATCTCTGGTGTACGCACTGTGTCCTAACTAAACATAATGCAGCACTGCGATACACGATGAAAGTATGGTTAATGCATGGTGAATCTATGTTAAGAAAAGTTTTTGCTGAAGTTAACTAATAGCCACTGATGTCAATGATAACTGGAGTTTCTAAATCTTATACATAGTGGTTTTAAAGAAATTGTTGTAAAGGCAAAAATTACAGTGGAAATGTATTCATCCTCAGGCAATCCAAGAGGTTGGTGGCTTTTTCCACTCAGTTAAACATTAAAAGATCACTCCCTTTTTCTTAAACCAGGCTCATTTTATAAGAGTTTAACAGTTGAGCTTGACCTGTTCTATGTGGGGTTTTTTTTTCGTTTCCTCTGTATTGTCCAGTTTATGGATTATAAGTTATGTTGCCCATAGGTAAACATCAATGCCTAACCCTAAAAAGTTTTTATATTTAAAATTTTAAAAAAAACTTTACGGTAATCATAATCTTGATGGTGAGATGGTCGTGCGGGATGTTCATTCGTTCATTTTCTTTTCGGCTTAATCCCTTTATTAATTTGAGGTCGCCACAGCGGCATGAACCACCAACTTATCCAGCACGTTTTTACGCAGCGGATGCCCTTTCAGCCAGCCGCAACCCATCTCTAGAAAACACACACACACACACACACACACACACACACACTCATACACTAGGGACAATTAAGTTTACCCTATTCACCTGTGCCGCATGTCTTTGGACTGTGGGGGAAATCGGAGCACCCAGAGGAAACCCACGCGAACGCAGGGAGAACATGCAAACTCCACACAGAAACACCAACTGAGCCAGCCGAGGCTCGAACCAGTGACCTTGCTGTGAGGCGATGTCGTGAGGATGTATCAAAGTAAAATTTTGGCCAGACCCAAGTCAGACTAATAATAATAATAATAATAATAAGGATTCTTTTAGTAAATGGCCAGGACAAATTAATAAAACAATTAATAGAAAAATAATAACAATGCCAGCCAAATTTTAAAATACATGAGATGAACTAAAGTACGAAAACATTGAAGTATACAACAACATGGTAAAGGATAGTCATGGGAAAGCCTGCTAAAAAAGATGGGTCTAAAGACGAAATTTAAGTGTGAAGACTATCACTGCTCCTTAGGTCCAGGCGAAGCGATATCTATAGCCGAGGAGCCATAGCGCTAAAAGGTGACACCAGGGAGCAAGATTGTAAAGTGCCTTGATATCAAGTAATATTTTAAAGTCAATACAATACTTTACTGGAAGCCAGTGACGCTGATTAAGAGGTGGTGTGACATGCTTATGAAGAAAATACAAATGACACAAGCTGCATGGTTCTGAACCAGCTGGCATTTACAGAGAAGTTTAGAAAGAAGCTTGGTGAGAAATGCATTACAGTAGTCAAGACGTGAAGTAACTAATGCATGGATGAGAATTGCTGTATGTAAACTGTTGAATTTTAGCCTTTATGAATACGTTAAGCAGCAATGTTGCCTAGTTACCTAGAAAACTTTTCATTGTCCATCAGCTCTAGTATATAATGTAACTACAGAAGAGTCAAGCTTTAAATAGGAAAATTACACATTCTTTTCTTTTCTTTGAAACTGACCGTGAAGCTAATGGTCTAATCAGATTCAATGATTTATGCTAAGCTAAGCTAAGCTAAAATGCTCCCAATAATTGCCTGAATCTATTCAAAAATGGTAAAACTCAATTTTATCTGTAGGAGAGTTGCAAAATGAGCCCATTTTTAAAAAGTGGAGTGTTTCATTAAAATAACATGTGAGAATATAAATTTATATAATCTAGTTTTAAATTAACAGTGATTTATACATTTATTATTTAATTATCTCATTTTATTCAAAATTCTAGCTAGGGTGCTAGAGCGGAGCACTGGCTGAGCCAAAGTGATGCAAATACTAAAGGCAGGGTCATAACGACTGTGCCTTTGTCTTTGGGTGATACTTTTAAGCTGGTCTGGGCAGGTGAAAACCCAGAATCTATTTAAGACCCTAAAACAAGATTTTAAACTAAAACCCGTTCATTATACACTGCACCTCCAAAAAACAATGCAGACAGGACAGCTCTGTCTCAGATCAGATTCATTATAGACTTGTTTCAGACTTGTGATACTCATTTTAAACTACTCTTGTAGTGTCTTGCAGACCCGCAGAATTCTTGAAGATGCTTTATGACTGCAGAACAACCAACACATCTCAAAGAATTCTACTTGTTAAGTTTCCTGATTTGTGTTCTCATTTTTCCTACACATTTAGATGAAACAGCATTCATTGGTGATTAATTAAATGCAAGTCAATGCTTACTCTGAGAATAAAAAAAAGCTAAACTAAATTAGTACCTGTTGCTTCCAACAATAAATTAAGGTCTTTTGAAGTGAAACGATCAACCCAAGCCAAAACCTGAACAATATATACAACCTTATTATTACCTGTAATCCAAAGCCTCAAGCTAATCTGATCCTTTTCTATGAACTGGCTCTTTCACACAATTCAAAGAACTGACTCGTCAGTTTGTTTACATAATCACAAAATGATGCCATGTATACGCTATTATATAAATCCACCTGACAATGCCACAAACTTCAATTTTACCACAGAGTTTAAAACAATAGTTCAAAACAATGATTTGCAAACCATATGTAACTCGTAGGCATTGAATTAAAAGTAACAATATTATAAATTACATTCAGTAACCTTAAACAAACTTCAATATATTGTTGAAAGCAACATATTAAATAGAATTCCTAACTTATTTTTTTACTACAAATGACTTAAGATATACGAATCACCAAAAACACTATTTTATCTAAATCTCTTCTTTATTTACTGAAACAAAAGTCATCCACATTTTAAAAGACCAGAGTAAAAAAATGTAATTAAAAGGCAATTTTATTAAATAAGAGAGTTACAAATGCAACATTGGGCCCAATCCCAATTCTATTTTTGTAGCCCTACTCCTTCCCCATATGAAAAAACATTACGAAGGCACCAGGCTATAGCTAACGCCACAACTCACTACTGTTTGCACTAGAGAAAAATTAGTGTTTCATTTCTGAATATTTATAAACAAGTTTGAATTAAATCTAGTTAATATATTTTCAGTTCCTTTTTTTAACTAACACTTACTGCATTTTAGCAGTAAGAAGAATACCATATTCTACGATACAGAATATTGAGCTGAAGTTTGACTACAAAAAAAAAAAAAATAAAATAAAAAAAAAAAAAAAAAAAAATCGCAAATCACAATTTCTGTGAAAAAAAATTTAATAAATAAATAACATTTCGCAATTAGACATTTTCCCCAAATCGCAAGCCCTAGTACTATTTAGAAGGTGGCCATATTCATGTAACAAGAAAACAACATTAATGCTACATCAGACACTGTAAAAAGTTAACTCCCAGCCACTAGACAATTCTGACATGGTATTTGAGTGACAGATGTGATTGTGAAAGAATGTCGTGGGACTACTATACAGGAGTTGTTATTATTAAGGATTATATATAGCAAAATGTAGCATTTTTTTAAGCATGATCGCAAAACACAAACATTGTTATGACAAACATGTGCTTGTTTGTTGTAAAAATTCTTAATAATGCCAAAAAAAATACTAATTTGTGCATCTCCTGACTCGCATGTGCAGTCATGCTGTCATTGTAGATGGTGTATTCTGGGAAACTTTCATACCCCTTGGTTTAGAGTGTGGTCCTGGAAAGTTTTAAAAGCCATCTAAACCTTCCCCTTAGCCCTACAACTTCAAGCTAAAGAGAATTGGGACAAGGGGTAAGAGGAAGGACTAAGGTGTAGAATTAAGATTGGACCTTGCTGTCATTTCAGTGTCAGACGAGAAAGACACACAATAACCTACTGACCATACATTTACGAAATACTTTCTGCATCACTAAGCAACAAGAGGCTGCAGACGCACCTGGTGAATGATATAGATGCCATAGTTGAGCTGCTGGCGCTGTAGGAAGGGGTGCAGATAGTAGAGGAGGAACTTGAGATGGTGCTCCCGGCTTCTGTGAGGAATGATTATTGCGGTGCGGTGGCGAGCCTCACAGTTGGGCGGCCTATAGCGACCTCCACGGACAACAAGTGGGTTCTTCCTCTCCACATCGGCAAGTGTGAGCCCGGAAGGGAAAGTGACATGAATTGGTCCAACTAAGAAATAAGAATAAAGCAGAATTTTTGAGTTGATGACTCTCTTGCAATGTGGGAAGTCAGATCATGCATGGTGACTTGATTCTATTTTCAAATCATCACTCATATCTTAAAGCTGATTTATACTTTCACCTAATGCCACACCAAACGGATGAGGCTTTTATACTTGATGCATTCACCGTTGTGATATTCTTTTAAACGACAGGGGGGATGGTCAAAAGAAACTGACCGTAAAGTCAGATGGATAAACATAGAAGTAGGAAGTTTACAGTACTACATCATATCACTAATATTGTCATTATTTTTTATAATTTTTTTCAATAATTTGAATGATTATAAGGATTTTTATGACCATTCAGGATTTTTTTAATCAAACTTTGATGCATCACTTGCTTTTGTTCATATTTCAGGCAGTTCGACCAATTAAAGTTTATTAACATTTTAATGACAATAGAACCCGAGTTGCTCTACAAACATACTTTTTATAATGGAAAGAATAAACTATTATCACCAATTAAGCCCAGAAAAACAGGGCATCAGCATATTGTAAACTGATAGGTTCAAATATTCTTTTCTAGTTATTAAGAAAATAATTTGTTACTTCAAAATTGTAATATATAAATCAGTGTAAAAGCTAGGAATGGCGGAAAAACATATTCTGTAATATTAAAACCACCCGGGTCCCCACTTTTGGATGGACGGATCATAAAGATGTCTGTGAAAAGTCTGTCTGTAACAGGGATGACTGCAAAGTGTTTCTTATTTAACTCAAATCAAATGCCGCACCGAGTAAAATGTTTGCTTGGGTCTCAAAAAATGCACTCTGCCAGCCGGAAACATGTTGCGCTTACCCAAACTGAATCTCTGCGAACACAGCAATGACGTAAATTCGAGATGCACTTGGTTGTAAATATTTTGTTAAATAAAGTAATTTTGTATTTTTTTTTCAATCTAACCAATTAACTATTAAACACCTAAATTACAAAAAAGCCAATAATGAAACCACATTTAATTACAGCTAATTTTTATTTAGTAATTTTAGTCGTTATTTTAGCAGCATTGCCATGACAACACAATAGTGCTATAGAAAGCAGCAAAAAAGCACACAACATAGAAATGACCAATCTGTGGGTTATTGGAGCAAACTTTGCTTTTCTGGTGAGCATGTGTGGTTCAGACCTTGCATTAGCTATGTTTGCACCCACCTTTTTTGAATATGCGCATAAATAAATGGTTGACGGAAACGTCAAGATGTGCATCAACTGAGTAAGAGAAACCTTTTTGATCGATAAAAGTCCATAAACTATGATGGAAACCCTTGTACTGAACAAATTCCATTATGTGCATTAAAAAAAAGTCATGTGATTTTGTTATAAGAGATCATGTGATGATAAAAATGTGTGTAAATGGATAAAGTCACTGAGCACATTGTAAAGCTTCTGAAATGTTGTTTTGTTCATTCGAAAACACCATAACCATTTCAGCATTTGTTTTATTATATTATTAATTACCTCCAGAATAGTCAAGAGCGTCTGTGCTCCGCGCCTTAGGCTTCAAACACCACCACATGTTTATTGCGTGTCATCATACTGTTTTCCGAAGCGCACATCATTTAATAAATAAAGAAAATGTTCACGCAGTTGCTCTTACCGCAGCAAATTATGATTTTTTTTATATATATTTGGTGCCAGTTCATCAGGAAGTGACCATTTGGTTCACTTTGACTCGTTGGACGGAAACGGTGCTTTATTCGCACGTCTTTTAAGCGATATATTTTTATGCAATATTTTATGCAATATTTGCGCATTAATTTAATTAGCATTTTTGGATGGAAACATAGCTAGTGACTACGGTGGGATGTATAGTAAAATAGTAAAACCATTATGAGGCACAGCATCGCCTCTTTTTTTCTGAAACTTTTTAAAAGTTGACCATTTTTAAACGCATCGCTTTTGGCTGATGATAATTTTCGTGTTTCCCTAAATAAAAAGTTATGATTCATTTTTTAATCTTGAGAATATATGCATCTAGGCCATCTCTGTGAGAAGTTCCCAGACATCTTTTTTTTACCCAAGTAGTAACAAACTGATACTGATGCATTCACATAGACAATAAAAACAGGGAGAGATCAGAAATTTGATAGCACTCTTCCTATCAAACTCACCTAGGTGTGGAGATTGCTTGGGGCAGTAGGGCATGTCATCTCTATTAATAGGAGGGCCTAACCGGGAAAGGTTGGCGTAGACATCTGTATGGTTGCGTCCCCCAATCATGCTTCCTGCCGAAGAATCCGGCTTTCGGAATATCCGGAAAAAATACGACACTCTTTTCTGATAGCCTTCTCTTGACAGAAGAGCCATGACCACTAACTGGACGCCTAAAAACATGATCAAGTAACGCCATTTGGTTTGCAGCGTGAACATGATGACACTCAAGCTAGTAGTGCACCACTGAGAGTCAAATGAGAGTGATTTAAGTTTGGATGAATTTGAGGAACTGAACTCTATTGGTGATCTCATTCCTTGTATCTCTGATATACGAGACAGCGACTCTTATGCACCCAAACAGAAGACACCAATGGAAAAGATATGGTTTGAAAAGCTGTAAGGCGTAGAGATGTAAACAATAGGTCTATTTTCAAGGATTGGCGAACGGATTAGATATGTGGAATAGATGTAAACAAGTTTGATGAAGCACAAGGCACTTCAGATGTGGATGAATCTGCTAAGGAGAGGTATCGTTTTTCTAAAAGATATTTTCAGATATGTGCTGCAGTTTGATTTAACTTTGCAGTCTTTCAGCCTGTTAATATTCAACTCTGAATGGAAACTCCCAATGGTCCTCTGGTGTTTTCATGACTTAATGATCAACCGAGCTTCCGTCTAGCTCTAGACGTTGGAACTGGGAGGATGTGTCCAGTCGCTGGAAGGAAACGGATTGTTTTGTTCCCAGATAGTCCTTAGCAGCAGCAGTCCTGGAAAAGTCTCATGGCCCCTACAAAGTGTGGGGCCACAGAGGTATCCCAGGGTATTGTTTTATAACGTGTTGGTGTAAGATAGTCAATATGTATCTGAGTATCTTGAATATGTAGGAGGGGGAAACAAAGAGAGGGGGGGAGGGATGATATTGAACACCCCCAGCTATTGTGTCATTTTGCTGCCATGCAGGGGGAGGGTCCGACACCTCGTCCAATGCCAGCTGGTCCAATGACAGGAGTCAAGTGTCTGAAAAACAAAAAGCGAGACATGAGGAGTGACCCTGAACAGACGCTTCACAATATGTTAAGTTTGTTTATCTGGTTGGGTGCTCTGTACTAATTTGCACAAACTTGTTTCGGATCAGGTTACAAAATCAAACATTGGTCTTGACATTATGAAAATGCATTTTTAATGAATACATGATACTCCAAGTGACACAATTAAGTTGTGTTTTTGTAACTAACACACAAAGAAATACCATTGTCATTAGGGTTGGGCCGATAGACGATGTCATCGTACATCGCCGATGGCCAGACAGAATCTGCAGACGTTTTTTGACATTTCTGCTGAGAATTTTGGTAAAAATCTTCAAATTTCTGCAAAATGATTTTGGAAGTATCATAACTAAAACCCTAAAATATGAAATAAAAAGTAATGCCTTTTTAACTTTTATTTAATGTTTAAAATGCAAATCCAATTAGATTCACTTTATTCAGTAAACAAAGCAAGTTATATAATATTTATATACTTTATATAATAACTCTACTAAAAGACAGAAAATTATGACTGTACAAACTGCATTGTACATAAATCTGATAAACATTTCCATATTAGTCAATAAAATTACTTTAATTAATTAAAAAAAAACTGAATAAATACAGATTTACACACATTTACTCAAGTAAATAAACACATGGTTTCCGCTACTTTCATTCTTCCATGGCAGGGCGCCACGCCAAAATTCAGCCGGCCACGGCTACATTACATCTTCTCATTCAAAACATTTAATTTTTTTAATAGCGCGTAATACTCGCACCAAAACGTATTAAAGTGTAAGTGTAACCTTAGTAGTGCTGTGCGTCATTTGTTTAACCCTTTAAGGTTACGTGCTGACTGAAGATCTGGTTGACTGACAGGCGCTTAAGGCCAGCAAACACGATGTATAGCCATTTCACTTTACTTCAGGATGCATTAATATCGCTCTGTAGGTTTATCAGGGAGACATTCATAAATATTCCTAGCAATTCTAATAAATGCTGGAGACTTACTCGTTACATAAACGCACCAAATCGCACTTCGGCAGAATTTATTTGAGAGCGCGCAAGATCTGCTCTTGAAGCGGCTTATATTTGAGGGGGCGTGCAAAAAGTTTTGTGCACGAGCAGAGGAAATCGGCGTGCAAAGAGATCCGCATGCTGTAGGCCATTACATAAATGCGATCTCGACTTCTAATACTGTGCTCATGACATTTGTCATTAAAATAACGCCACATGTAGATCTGTGTAAAAAAAGGCCTGCCGCCACAGCTGGAAAAAATCCAATGATGTAACTCCTGACTCCTGTCATTTATGTAACAAGTATGTCTCCAACATTTATTAGATTTGCTAGGAATATTTATGAATGTCTCCAATAGACCTAATGAGCAGCATTAATGCGTCCTGAAGTAAAGTGAAACGGCAATAAACTCCAATAAGATAAAGTCATTGTATGCAGAACCACAACTCACAACTTCAAAGAATAAAACAAATAGCGCACAGCACTACTACGTTTACAGAAAGGTTTGCACTCTTAAAATTTACTTTTCTTTTAATAAGTTTTAGTGCAATTATAATTTGCTAATAAAAACAACAACAAAGACTGAATGTTTTGAATGAGAAGCTGTAACGTAGCCATGGCGGGATGCATTTTGGTGTGGCGCCCCGCCATGGAAGAATGAATGTAGCGGAAACCATGGTGTTCATCGTAAATGAAAGCTATGTCGTGTTTGCTGGCCTCACGCATCACGCACCTGTCAGTCAGTTAGTCAGTCTGTCAGCACGTCACCTTGAAGGGTTAAACAAATAAGGAACAGCACTACTACGGTTACAGAAAAGTTCTGCGCTGTTATAATTCATTTGCCTTTTAATGTGCTTTGGTGTGAATAAACGTATAACGTTACGTTAAACTGATTGATCGTTAAACTGATTTTAAAAATTACAGTAATAAACGCATGGTATTACGTTAAACTGATTAAAAAATGACAGTAATAACGTATGATATTACGTTAATCTGATTGAGAGTTAAACTAATAAAAAATTACAGTAATAAATGTATAACATTACATTAAACTGATTGATCATTAAACTGATTTTTAAAAACAGTAATAAACGCATGGTTTACGTTAAACTGATTGAAAAATTACAGTAATAACGTATGATATTACGTTAATCTGATTGATCGTTAAAGTGATAGAAAAATGACGTATATTATATATAATAAACGTATATTATGTTAAACCGACTAAAAAATGACAGTAATAAATGTATAACGTTACATTAAAGTGATTAATCGTTAAACTGATTGAAAAATGACATTAATAAACATATGATATTACAAAATTTCAAACAAATGCTGTGCTTTACAACTTTCATAAATGAATTTTCAGTTTACAGTGATAACAATAATAACTATATTATTTAATATAATAATAATATTTAATATAATGATAATTACAATAATATTTGTAGTAGTTGTTGTGAAAGTACATTTTAAAGAACAGAAGAATTCAGTGGTTTCTAAGCGAAGCTAGTAAGAAAAATTTATAGCCAGACAAGCCAGTAAATTTCCTCAACGCACTCGTCATTGGCAGGTGTGGCAAAAAGTTAATTTTGGACCCTATGTACATCTGTTGGAGAGCAAACACTACCAGCTTGTCTCACTCTCCCCTCCGTTCCACTAAAATATGTTCAGTTGAATAAAGCCTGCACTTGGTTCCAACATGGCTGACTTCCCAGACATAAGCCTTGTCCAAGGGGAAGGAGGCAAAACCCTCAGCAGGACGGCAAGAACTCTGCAAGATCGGTCTCGAAAACCACATCGCCCCTGCTGGGAATTCTGTCCCACAACCAGGATCATTTGCTTGGGGGTGGGAGGGGGGAAGACCCAGGGCTTGAAACAAGCTTCATTTAATCTCCCTGACACAGTCTAGTGGATCTGTGCTTACAAATCAATTATAGCTCATTAAAAGCACCACTCACAGACGATAATCCTAATCTGAGGAATGGCGCAGGGATTGGTGGATTGGCACAAAAGGGAGGATGAGGCGACAGTGTGTGGTGTAGTGTCATCTCTTACTAATCCCATCTTCAGGCAATGCCTTTAACCCTTATGGTAAAGGCAACAGTGCATTCAGAAAGAATGGGAGACGGTTATAGACATCTCTATGTAAGGGAGGAAGAGTAAATGCAAGACAAAAGCAATAAGTGAAAGGCTGGCAGGGGTACTGTAAATGACATCTTTCCTCTATGGCAATTGAGGTCAGAGAGCATTTTCTCTGTGGTGACTAAGACTTGCGTTCTGTCTCAGACTCATTTATTAAGATGGACATTTAAATTTTAATATTGAAGTATTTTCAACTTCCATTATTGTATATAGACTAGATTCGTGGCATAATATTGAATGGAAAAAAATGGTTGATGCCAAACACTGTTAAAGGTGAAAAACTTTGAGCTTTACCACTTCCAGTTGCAGTCAAGAACTTCTAACACAAACCCACAGCATTCTGTGTATCTGTGGTCATCAAAGCAGAAACCACAACTGCTGCTCTGCTCCTCTATTTCAGTTGTCTTTCATGTTCAAATGTAATTTTCAAGAACTTCGAAAGATCAGAATAGGCCCACTCTCAGACTATCCCCTAAAATTCTTAAAATAGGTGTAATTGGACAAGGGAGGTATTTCACAGGAAAATCTGTGTGATCAACAGAGAGTAGAAACTAGTAAAACGTAACAATATAGAGTAGTGTTGTCACGATACTGGAATTCAATACCAATAAGTACTGAAATTTTAAAAACATCCATTTCCCACTAACATTTGAGCACGTTCTTAAACACCGCTGATTTGCCATCCGTTGATGAATCGACTGATCTTCATAGCTTTAAAACGCTCCACCTTCGATGTATCTGTGGTTACATTCAGTATACAGTGGTAAGTTTGGTGAACTGATGACCTTCATAGTAGGGCTGGGCCAATAAACGGTATTTTAAATGAATCGTGATAAAATTTATATCAATAACAATAATAAGCTCAGGACTTTTTTACTCTATATTGATTTAATTGCCAATCACACAGCAGAAATGTGCAACAATGAGAATTTAAAAGTGGGCTGATATTAGAAATGTACCCATTTTTCGTCCACCAAAAATTTATCGGTCGAAAAGATATTGTGCCATTCAATAGACCCTCTAATTATTGTGATCTCAGTCATTGTTGGGGTACTCTTTTAATTATATAAAATAAATTTATATGTAAAAAAAATATATATATATATATATATATATATATATATATATCATTATAATTCCATATGGTAAACAATTGTCAAGATGCCATTTTTGCCATAACGCCCAGCCCTATTTCACTTCTAATCACTGTCATTTCTGTTGAGCATTTGAACACAATAGCGAATCAGCAGTGTTTAAGTGTGGCGCTATATTGAAAACTTTCAAGGGGGGTGAGGGTTAGGGATGCAACAATTATAGATTTTGGTTGTACGATTACAGTCTGAGGAATAATCACAATTTCACAGTTATCAAGATTATTATGCATTCATTATTAGGGTTTTATAACACTACTAGTGTAGTAAATCACATAAAAACTCCTAATTAAAGTGTTATTTATTGCTGCTCGATAACTAAATAATACAGCACAAAAAATAATTAATAAAAAAGTGAATACTTTTAGACTGAAAATAAATGACAGAACAATGAATAAATAAAATAAAAATAGGAATAAATAAATATAAATTTGTGTACAGTTAATGAAGCTAGCTTAAGATACGTTTAGTTTTTTAATCATATTTTTTTCAGACTGCAAGCAGTTTCAGGGCATAATCAACAATTTAATGATTAAAACTCTACATACGATGCATTCAAGAAAATCCATCGTCACTTCCTAGGATAAATGGAACAAATAATGATTGTAATAATGAACTGTAAAAAAAAAAGAACAAACTAAACCCAAAACCTACCCCCACATCCCACCAAACCCT